TATTTTTATTTTACTTTCTATTTCATTTTTATTTCTATTCAATTTAATTTTATTACACTCATTTACCCTCAGAAGTAATATTTCCAAGTAACCAATGTGAGGTGAATATCAATGAGTTTCGTGAGTTTTTGTTGTACCTATTAATATTTATCCAAACCAGCCATTAAAAGCTTTTTATTATTGGGCTAATAATCATAACAATTGTACGACTGCTGCATTTAAAAACAAATAGAATGTTTTCACGTGTTTATTTCTCCAATCACTACTATATTAATTTATATTATAAAGTAGGAAACCCCTACACAACCTCTATAAAACTAGATTCCCACACTCCCAATATAATAATTTCTAATATAATAATTTCACAGTCCAGTTCAGGCTCCATTGATTACAAATCAATCAAAAAAAAAAAAAACTAAGGACACTAAAAAGTCGATACTGATTGTAGCGTGTGTCTTGTGCCTGTATGCCGGTCAGTACGTACACTGCTTGGCGCGGGGCGCGGCACTACAATCTACAGCTAGTGGAGCCACCTGTTGGCTGCAAAATGTAGCGCGAAAATGGTCCGAGTTCCATTCCCGCGCGACGCTATATTCTATGGCGCGCCGTAAAATGTAGCGCGCTGCAGACTGTCGCTAGTGGAGCCACCTTCGTTTGATCGCTGCATTCCTATTTCCTCAACTGACCAGCTACAATTTGCAGCGCGGCAATCTACGGCAAGTGGAGCCGCGGCCTAAGGTTGAGAAAGAGCTAGAACATTTACTAGAGTCAGATATTTTAATTCCAGTTTGTAGTTCTGAGTATGGATCGCCTAGTGTGCCACTTCCTAAAAGAGATGGTAGCGTTAGAATTTGTGGCGACTTTAGATACCGTATGTTAACGCACAATTAGATATTGATAAGTACCCCATTCCTAGGGTCTAAGATTTGTTTACAGAACTACAAAAGGGGGAATTTTTCAATAAGATTGACCTAAGTCAAGCGTATATGCAGTTAAGATTGTGCACAGTAGTTGTGCACAATCAGTACACACAAGGGATTGCTTTCATACAAAAGATTGCCTTATGGTATAGCCTGAGCAGTAGGTATTTTTCAAAGAGTCATCAAACAAGCTTTGCAAGGTGTGAAATGTTTTTTGGATGATATAATTGTATCTGGACCTAATGACGAAATACTTTTAAATAGACTAACGGAAGTTTGTTCACACCTCAAGGCTGTAGGTTTTACAATGACCTTTAGAAGAAAGATGTAGACTTCTGTTTTGACAACGAGGGTATGAAATTGTTTAAGAAAGTTAAAGAGCTATTGTATACGGCTCCTGTGCTAGCACAGTATGACCCCCAAGCACCAGTAATACTCACAGTGGATGCTAGTAACTATGGTCTAGGATGTATGCTCAGTATACTAGACAAAGATGGTACTGAAAAGCCCATAAGTTTTGCATCACGTACATTGAACCAGGCGGAGCAAAACCATTCATAAATTGATAAGGAGGCATTTGCTGAAGTTTATGGTGTTAAGAAATTCCACCAGTGTTTGTATGGGAAGCATTTTACCCGAGTGATCATAAACCTCTTGTTAGTATTTTTGGACCCATGAAAGGCTTGCCTGTGTTTGCAGCCAGTAGATTACAGAGATACACACTGTTTCTGTCAGGCTATGATTTTGACATAAGATATGTAAGGTCTGATAACAATAGTGCCAATGCGTTGTCAAGGTTACCGCTTAAAGTGTCCCCAGCAGACGAAGGGCTGGAATTGTTATGGTTAGGTAATTATTTACACTTTTAAAGAGAGCTCAGTACCAGTGACATGTGATCAAGAGTAGAAAATCAAAAGACCCATTATTAAGAAAAGTGTTAGGCTATGATATGTTTGGTTGGCCTAATTTTGTAAGAAGAATTTGAATTGTTCCCATCAAAGGAGGGAAGAAATAGCCGTTGAGCAAGGTATTTTGATGTGGGGGTATAAAGTAATCGTTCCTAGTAGTTTAGAAAGTTATGTTTTGAACAAACTTCATGCGTCTCATCTGGGCATAACTAAAATAAAGTCTGTTGCTCCAATAAGCATTTTATAGTTATACGCCAACCCCGTATGAAGGACGGGTATTCAGCTAGATGTGATATTTTTAAGGAAACATTTTAGTGTAAATCCAATCAGGCAATTGGAAATTCGCTAAGTCTGCATGTTTGCTGCAGCGGGGGTATTTTTAATTGTGCTGTCAAAAGTTAATTTAAGTTCATTCGGTGTTCTTCTTTTAAAAGAGCAGTTATGTCATCGGCATACAGTGTGAAAATACAGGAATTTGTGGAAAGGCAATTAGGCAAGTCATTAATAAATATAATAAATAATAAAGGTCCAAGTATGAAACCTTGGGGAACACCATATGTAACGCTGACCCAGTTAGAATAATATTTTATTGATTTGTTTATTACTATTGTCTTTATCTTAACACAGTCTAAAATATGGCAGTCAATTGATGATACATAAAGAAAATTTTTTAAGTTATTCTGATTTATAAAGATTTCGATTGGCTGCCTATTTTACTGGGTTAAGTTAGACCTCTAGTTTGCGTTGTCAGTTTTCTTTTATCACAACCTTCAAAATGAGGGGTCACTCGATGAGGCTTAACATTTCAAATTTTGTTGTTTCCCCAAAATCCCCCATTTTGGGTTTGCGAACCAAGTACCGGTAGCAATTAGGCTCAAAAAGTACTTCATAACATGTCATAAAGGTGTGCAGAGTTTAGTTTTTCTAGTATGGGCCGTTAAAAAATTGACAGTGAGGCTCCATACTTTTTATTAACCCTGTATAAACTGTGTTTATCCTATTTATACTTTGTCATAACATAAGTAGGTAGGCTTATGATTATTCTAATTCATAAGAAAGTTAATATAAATTAATTTTACAGTATATTTACCATGATATTAGTATTTGTTCTAAAATGGAAGTTTTTAAGTAGCCCAATGAAAACACAGGATTACACGACACCAAATATTTTTGATGCACTACTAAGTTTACTTTAGTGAACATTGAATTTTACCTAATCCAATGAGCGTGCTAACATTAACGGCAATTTTTAAGGAGAATTTTGTATTCACCATGTTAGCTAAATCAGGGTTTTTGTCAGGATCCTTAGGATTGTTTTCAATTCAAAGGTTAGCTTAGCTTGGAAGGTCTGTAAGATAGCTTGATCACTAAGTACATGCTTACAACTATTTTTTTCTTATTGGAAAAGACGTGTAAAATGTGAGAGAGGTGTACTATACACATATTTAAACAGGGTATCTGGGTATCCAACCAACCTGGGCACCGAGAATTGTGGCCTACTTGACTTGAATTTGGTATGGACCAAGGACTACAATGATTACCAATAAGTCTCAATTCATTGACAGCGTTCCATTGGTTTTTCTTTTAACGTTACTTAACATCATAAGTAAATCACGATTATTGGAGATCATCACATAAATTTTACTGATACCACAAGAGATGATCACAGTGCAGCCGAGACCACAAAATGTGCTCGCGAGTATTGCCTCGATCGTGAATGAAGATCACGTAATCACTGAGACCGCAACATTTACTTATGGGTGTTGCCGTGACTTTTAGTGACAACCACAATATCGCCGAATTTTCACGATCGCGAATGACGAATACGTTATCACTGAGACCGCAACATGGTAATTATTTAGTATAGGTGCCTCCAAACAAATTTTTTAATTTTGATGTCTACCTTTATAATTTTTTACCTAGCAACATTTACTTATGGCAGGGACATATTTAAGTATCTAGTGCTTCTAGGCAGTTCACTGATGATTATCTGTTACATTTTGGTAAAATTCACAATAGAAATACCACACAATCTCTACACACCACATTGGCATTCAGATGGACTTTCAATCTTTCAGCTCGCTGCGTAGTAGTGTATGAAGTATAAAGTAAATAGGGGGAAGTGTTTTCTTCGTTCGCCACTATGCAGCGGCCGGCAATCCTGCTCCCACGGCGCGCGTGTCCGCCAGACCGATAGGGCAGCACGGAAAACTCAGGACAACCTTGTACTAAATTATCGACTTTTGTTTAAAATGCGTTCTGAAATAATTGTAAGGTATACTTAATCAAAATGTTTCAAATGGCTGTTTTGCCGTTCCCAGAATAATTTTCTCAACGTTTATTTTTTTAGATTAACCTCCCTTTTTTTATTTTTTAACCCCCAAAATTTTGTTCCCCCTAAGATGGGTGCCTAGTCCGCCTATTCGGAAATATGTCCCTGACTCACAGGTATTGCCGCACGCAACCCTTAACTTAGTGGCGACCACGATATTGCTGACTGCTGAGACTGTAAAATTTACTTACCGGTACGGGTGTTGTCGCAACTTTAACAATCATTAATTTATACCAATTATAAAAAAACTTTATTTCCCAGTATTTAAACTTAGGCCTTCACAAAATTACTGGTCTGACTTCTGAAGTAAGCAACTAATAATTAATGTTGAAGTTCAATATTTATGAGTTGCTTTGATCCAAAAATAATAAATTTGTCCTAACTTAAGGACTTTCCTTTGAGTACTATGCAACTATATTTCGTTTTCCACCGAGACCTAAAGTAATAGCTTTTTATTCCCTATATAGGAAATTCGCTAAAACTGTGACAGATGGGAGAACAACCCAACGCAAGTTAGTAGTGCTTATTTATTAGTGCTTAAAACAAAGGCTAAAGGCCTACAGGCTCATCCCAGCAACAGAAATAATCCATATTTTAGAAACGAATCAAATGGACATGTCAAACACTGACATGAGTGTAATATTGTAATAACAAAACATCCTGATCAGAGCAATGGCCTTCTATAATATATACGGTCAAAAGTTTGAAATCAACTTACCTCTTTAATTTAAAGTTCGGTCACAATTTTATTGCTTAATGTAGGCCTAAGGAGTTTATAAAAATCTTAATTTTATTTTCAATAAGCTACCTGGACGTGATCTAATCACTCAAGATACTTACTTCGTAGTAGATACTGGAAAAGACTGACAGTAGTGGCAGTGTGTTTGTTCTTTGTTGCAGCCTTGCAGCAGCAGGCAGAAGCAGAAGCAGCAAGTTAGGCACTGAGCTATAATTCTAACTGGAGGTAGCACTGAATGTCAAAGATGCGTGTCGCCAGCCGCCATGTTTGCGTGAGTCTGGTGTCATAAGAAGCCATATTATTGCTATAACTATTATTATACTTGGCTTAAAATACCTACTTTGTATGGTCGCCATTTCAAAGAAAATTATTAAAGTATTAAAAGTATTCAAGTATGACAAAAATACTCACTGCTATACCAACCTAGTTATAAGAAGCCATGTCATTGCTATGATAAGAAAACTTACTGCTATACCAACCTGACAAAATCAGCGACACGCTTTTGACAGACTTCTGCCATGGCAGTGCTACCTCCAGTTATAATTTTAGCTCAGTGAAGTTAGGCAAGTTTGACGTTTCTATTCTATTTGTCTTTTGTCTTCTTCACAAAACTTTTTTTTTGCCAAAAATGGCCGGCTTTGCTTGGTTAAAACAATGCAACCGCGTGGTTCGATATTTTAAAAATAACTTTTTAATTTTGTTTGTTTCCTTCGGATTAGTATTGTCATCTGAAACAGTACAACATTTTGTTCTCACTCTCGCAGACAATTCTCAGATAATTTGCTCAAGATTGGTGAAGGTAGAATGATAACTGACCAATATAAGAGAATTTCCTCCCTGTAAACTTTGGCCACATGGTTGCTTCTGCGGAAGAGCTTATAGCAAATGTGTTTCCGGACTTACCAAACAACCACTATGATTCTGAATGGTTATCCTGCAGAGCTATTTTAGCCCCCAAAAGTAATGATGTAAACAAAATCAACAACAAAATCGTGAACGTTATTCATGGTGAACTCAAAAATCCTATTTGTCTATTGATTCAATCATAGAAGAGGAACAAGCACTACACTACCCAGTTGAGTTTCTTAACACCTTGGAACTGCCTGGTATTCCCCCCCCCCCACAATCTGCAATTGCAATTAGGAATACCAGCATAGATAACACATACTCCTCAAGGAGTAACGTTATGTCCCGTTTAACTTCTTAATTTTCAAGATGATCTCGTTCGCATGGCTCAATCACGTCATGGTTAAAGTTCGTTCACTACGCTCACTCACCTTTAAGTTGGAGCTCGTTCGCTGCGCTCACTTGCCTTCAGGTTAGCTCGTTCGCTACGCTAACTCGCCTCCAGGTTGAAGTTCGTTCGCTGCGCTCACTTGCCTTCAGGTTAGCTCGTTCGCTACGCTAACTCGCCTCCAGGTTGAAGTTCGTTCGCTACGCTCATTCACCTTTTGGTTGCAAATTAGCTGTTGTCATAAATGTAAAAGAAATAATAGTGCTGCACCCTGTTGGTAATCCTTGTAACTTTAATGCTATTAAACATCATAGAACAGAACCATAGATAAAACATAACCCAACTTGTTTAATTGAAACAGCTGTTAAGATATAATTCCATTTCTCATAAGGTTAACATGGGAAACTCCAGATTCACTGGGACAGAGCCCAGAGGTCGGAGGTTAAAATCCTTTCTTAGTGAGCGTCTACTTCTACTACCCAAAAGGAAGATGCCTGCCAAGTTTCATGTTCCTAGGTCTTATGGTTTCTTAGATTTCGTGATGAGTGAGCGAATGAATGAATGAATGAATGAGTCAGTGGTATTTGAGCTTTATATATATATATAACTTACTAATAATACCCGCCATGTCTTCTATTAGTTTACCACAGGGAAAAGCGAAGTAAATCCTGCATAGTGCATAGTAAAATAATATTGGTATACATTTTGTTATATAACGTCTTTTCTTAGCACTTTAAGCAAAGTTCAATGGCAATTTGACATAAAAATGGGCGTTACCAGGAGCAAGTTATTTATGATGAATGAACCTGTTTAAATAACAATAATTTTCATGGTTTGAACTAATAATTCAGCTATTTTATGACTGAAGAATTTTTAACAGGTTGTTCTAAATAAAAGTACTAAATTTATAGTGAATATAATTTAATTGAAAAGTTTTCTGAAAACGTAACCTTGAGCTTTGTTGTAGTCACGTGACGTATGCGTAATGTTTCCCTGCCCCCTGCTCTGAGTGTTCCATGATTGCATTTATGTTGGGCGGTATCGTTATTAATTGAAGTTGGTGGGGTGAATTTGTTAGTTAGCTGTTAAGTGGTGAGTATTTTAGTACCAATAAAATAAACTAAAACCAAAGTTATTTGTTTTCACGTAGGATGCCGTAGGAACCATTAAAATGTCAAAACATTTCATTGATTATTTTGAGATGACTACCAGTTCCAAATCATTGGTTGCATGTTTCACAAAACTAGGTTTACTTTACTTAATTTATGCGTTGGATCATTCTAATTTTGATATTTTAAATCTTATAGCGTTAGTTAACCCTTCATTTACTTAAGCTGTTAATTAGTGTAGTTTAGATCACCTATCTTGGACGTCCTTTATTCATTGTGTAACCTTAACTTACTCCCTTGGTTCATAGGCTACCGACTTCATAGAGGATACCTAGTAAGGTAACAAACAACATACATTTCAAACATTAATTTTTAACAATAACCCGACTTGTTGCTGTAGCTGAGGTATAAGTTATAGGTTAAAAATTAAACCAACCTATAAGGTGGCTATTAAAGTAAGCAAGTTAAGGGTAACTTTAACTTACATAAACTTGTCATTTTGCAAAAAATAGGCTAGGCATAAGTTACTTCATCCACTTACAGTGTGGCAACAAGGGCACAGTTCTGCATAGAACAGTATCTCAGAACCTATGATATATTATTGGATACCGCAAGTTAAGATTTTCAGTCAAAAAGCTAATGGGACAAATTTATTGATTAACTTACCTAGGCCTAGGCTATTTTAACTTTTAGGCTAAAGCCCAAACAGGCTAAATTAACTTATTGATTGTCTTGTTATTGTTATGGGTTTAACAAAGTTATTCAAGAAGAGGGCTGCATGTCACTTCTTTTACAGCACTGCAGTGTTTAACTTAGGTTAGGTTAGTTCTCTGGGGTACAGTTTCTTAACTGGGCTATGCTAATATTGATTGAAACTATCGAATTGAAAATATTGATTAATAATCGATATTTTTAAATATATCTATTATGAAATAAAACTATCATAACCTAACCTAACCAACCAAACTTGCTGATGGTGAAAAAATCGCATGAAGGTTTACTTACTAATCGAATCGATAGTTTCAATCAATATTAGCATAGCCCAGTTAAGAAACTGTACCCGTTCTCTGTTTCTATAACATAACTTAAGTTATCTAGTTTAAGTTATGGTTGGCAAATGACAAACAAAATAACTTATCATGTAAGAAAATTTTAACATTTTTCTTTTTTACCTTTTTTTTACTCATTAAAAAGAGAGCCCTAACTTAACCCTCCGAGCGTCACTTGTCAAAAAATCGACTCACGACACACTTTGTGTAGTGTCACTTGTCGATTTTTCGACACACGAACATCGTTTACGGCGAAGGCTCTATGACTGACTGAATCGGATTGAACTGGATCGAGTTAAGTTAGCTATCGTTCTTTTGTTAGATTCAGAGCTTTCTCCGGAGGTCTGTCTCTAAGCGCTATTCATTTTAGTTCCGAAAATATTGTAGCAGACAGCTGACGTGCGTATTTGTAAACAGCTCGGTTAACCTCGGACCGATGACTGATGTGTTTTATTACGTTTATCATTGTTTTAGTGTTAAAAATCAAAAGTAGTGATATACGTGGTGTATTATAAGAAGATTTAAGTGATTTTGAAGGGCTGGTTGATGATCCTGAAGAAGTAGGTAGGCCTAGTGATATTGATGTAAATTATCAGCCAGATTCCTAACTGTGGTTAGGCTATGCATTCTTAGCTAAACGCTATGTAGGCCCTACTGAAATCTGTTTTTTGCCCATAACTTATTTATTTGCAAATCTACTTCCTTATATTACTGTATTATATATTTGTAATCCTCATAACATTTAGAACAAAGTGGCTATTTTCAAATATTTATAGGCCTATAATTTGGGCTATACAATTTCATTGAGCGCAAACTTATTTTTTTTTAGAAAATTTTCCAAAATATTTTTTTTTTACCTAACATTTTTTTTTAAACAAATGTTCCTTATGTTTTATGTATAATATTGAAGCCCATGATTTTCCAAACAAAATGGTATATAGAACAGTAGAATTTACATTGTTTTAAGCTTCTCAGATCCATTTTAATAAAACCTTGCAAATGCGCCAAAAATAACTTAGGCGGACATTAAGGCCTAAACTATGGACACTCGGAGGGTTAAGTTTAACCTACAATTCAAGACAACGTCTTTTAGCGAATTTCCCATAACTTAAGTTTACTTATAGGCCTACTTAGGGAATAAGCTTTTAAGCTATTAACCATAGTACTCATGGCAAGACCTGGACCCAGGACCGATTTACTTTTTTGTTTTGAGGTCCCCAGAGGCCAAAAATACTCTCTGTTCTGATTCATATATAAATATAGGCCTAGGTACAGTATACCGGTATATATATATATATATAGCCTATATAGCCGATTTTTGGCGCGATAACTCTTAGAGCAAAAATGATCAGATTTTATATATCATTTTATATAGTTGGTACCTGTAGGTTTTGGCTAGAGAAAACTGAGGTTGATTTTGTAGGTGATAAGCCTTGGTGTCCAGTAACAACTTGACTTGGACTGGGACTAAGTAAAGATAAACAAACCATTAACTTATACAGGGTGGCTGAAAAGTAACTTGCACCCCCCCTTAACTTTTCGACCATTTGAGATATTTAAAATCGGTTTGTGGCAACCTTCTTAGATATGAGGGACTACAATAATTATGGTCAATTTTGAAAATTTTGCCCTTAGGGGTAGCGGTGGTAGGGGGTAGCTCAAAATTTTTCAAATAGCAAGTATAGTCGAGTTTGGTATCATTTTGTAGGTCTTGACGAAACATAAACTTTTCAATTTTCATAAACAAAATTTTCAAGACTGACCATAATTATTGTAGCCCTTCATTTCCAAACAAGTTGCCGCAAACCGATTTCAAATATCTCAAATAGTTAAAAATCTAAAGAGGGTGCAAGTTAGTTTTTTTTTGCCACCCTCATGGTTATTTGGATTTGAAACGTTTTTGGACGCCATTTTGTTATTAGTGAGCCGATTTTGGTTTTCTTTATGTCAATGTTTACGTTTCGTCAAGAACTGTAAAATGATACCAAACTTGACTATACTTGTCATTTGAAAATTTTGAGCTACCCCCCACCTCCGTTACCCCTAAGGGCAAAATTTTCAAAATCGACCATAATTATTGTAGCCCCTCATATCTAAGAAGGTTGTGCCGCAAACCGATTTCAAATATCTCAAATGGTTGAAAAGTTAAGGGGGGTGCAAGTTTCTTTTCAGCCACCCTGTATATTTTTCTTACCTACTCAGGGACAAGCACACATTGAGTAAACATGGTACGGTACCAGTAGTTTTACACAAAATATAAGTTGCCTTGCACAATTAAGCTACTATAGTGCTTTTAGATTATAAAATCAATTAGGCCTACTTTAAATGTAGACTGGTAAATAACTTTTAATGTTTGTAGTGAACTTGGGATTAAATAAGAACATAATTATTGTTAAAATGCAGCCGCCGATACGGAGGGGCTAGGTGTCATCAGGAGAGCTCAAGGTAGACTAGGAGGAATAGCCGGGAAAATCGTAGCATGGTCAGGCTGTGTTCAGATTGGTTGGTTGAGCGTGGCATGTTGATCGGACCACGGCAACATTTATAGTCAATTATTGCCATCGTGATAGTCATTTTACAGTGCTCATACTCAGCAGAGTATACTATATGAAATGCACTACATAACCTTTGCTTAGCTATTCTTTTTAAAGAAGTTTTAAATTAAAAAATATAAATTCCCAACTTTTACAGAGCATCTTTTAAAAAGTTTATCTTTACATACACATTCATAATTTGATTTGATTTGATTTGATTTAATTTGAGTGACCGAGAGAAAATAAAAGGATTGATGCAAACAAATCAGAAATTACTAGGGTATATTATAGTTTTATTTGTAAATTTATTAAGTTAATTACTCTTACATGGGGTGTAATCTAGAACGTGCTTTGCAAAGACAACAAATACCCCCCGCCACAGCAAACCTGCAGACTAAGCAAATTTCCATTTGCCTGATTGGATTTACACTAAAATATCTCCTTAAAAATATCACATTTATTTCCTATTGAATTAGTTTAACCAGTACTTAGGTTTGCCGCAACAGGGAGGGTAAAAAAGCGTTTTTTTTTACAATGTTAATGGTTTAAGTTAGTAAGAAATAAACACATTTTCCAAATTTGATCAAAATAAGTTCATAAACAAGCAAAATACAACAGTTTACTTATTCTCCATAAGAATAACATGGGAATTTGAAATTTATATTTTTTTTATTTTCTTCATAACTATTAGGCGCATAATAACACTTTAATAATAGTCCTACTAAATTATTTCTTTATTTAAGCTCTAGAAAATGGTTTGGAAAGAAATTGCTAAATTTTATGTTTTTTTGTCAAAAATGTGATAAACCAATTTTTACCCTATAACCCCCTATAAACCCACATTCCCATTGTCCGACCATGCTGGTTCGCGAACTCGTTCAAATAGATAGCATTATAATGCCGAAACGGCCTTAACTCAAGCTACAACAGTTTGAGCTGTAGACGAAGGTAAATACCTACATATTTTTAATTACTAACACAGCTCAGGGGCTAAAAATGGATTTTAATACCTTTATTAGATAATTATGATGGATTTATTGTTACTAGTGATGTAAAATACCCGGGTATTTAAAACTCGGGGTAAATACCCTGGATATATACCCGGGTAAATACCCAAAATCCATAAATACCCGGGTATTTTGGGTATTTATGAAATCGATTGAAATTCGTATATATTTACCCCTAAATATGTTATTGTTATCATTACATGACAAATTAGAATAGTCTATAACTAACACCTTTTACAGTAACTTGAAGCTTTACCTTTTATTTTATGATTTAGCACTTTTTTTTATAATACATAAAGTTTCTAATTAAGCATGGGGTTTCGTGTCTTAAATCGAGTAACATCAGTTAAATTTAACTTACTAAAAAATAGTATATTAAAAAAGGCTGTGGCTATTTCAATTTTTATCATTGAGAATGCTAGATAGAGAATGCTAGAAACTAAACACTCCCTATGAAATGAAATCAAGACAACACCTCATCAGAGAAATAGTGAACCTAAACCTACTTTTACTGTTATTAAATTATGATAGTTAAAATTTTTATTGTATAAATGGCTTGGAAGGCTAGACAGACCTAAGGCCTGATTGACATAGTCAGAATGGCAGAATACTAAAAGTACCTAGGCTAATTAAACTTTTCTGTGTTACCACTTAGTTGGAAACAATAATATATTTGGATAAACCTCCTAAAAAAATGTATCTCCTTTTTGAATGATTTATTGTGCTATATAGAATCAAATGTTTTGTATCACAAGTTTATGAAATTAGTTTTTTTTATTTTGATACCACTGATACCAACAAAAGATCTAGAACAAAAATACCTATTATTAAAACCTGCCATCCTACAGATTGAATTTTAATTATTTTCTTAAGTTGTTTAAACATAGACCACTACTAGGTTAAATTTTCCTGTTTTTCTAAATAATAATTATTACTTTGCAAATTATTTTTCTTCACTTTCAATAAAATAAATTCATCTATCTATCATAGAAAATAAAAAATCATAAGTAGTCAGGACCAGTGCAACCATGCGACCAGGGTATTTATGCCGATTATGCTTTATGCTCAGACCTGGGTATTTATGGTGATTATACCCAGAAGTAAAATGCTAGTAGTGACCATATGAAATTTTGTTTAACACGTTTTATCATCATTTTACTATCCTTACAGGGTAATAATTCCAAAAAAACATCTCAATCTTCTCTAACTTTAATAAAAATTATAAATACCCAGTTTTGGGGTATTTGGCCTGGGGTAAATACCCGGGTAAAAACCCAATTTATATTTACCTACCCACTGGGTATTTACCCGGCCCACATCACTAATTGTTACTAATTTTTTTCATAAGACAAGCAGTAGAATCTTAAAATTACTTTTTACACAAATAAAATAAGTTACATCAGAGTAAGCTTTTAAGTGGGTTCTACCCGGCAGCTTGAAGGTCAATTCAAGTTGGTGGATTATATGGATTGAAATGTAGTTCGGGATTGAATATGCCTCTATTGTACAAGCTCTCAACATTCTAAAACTAATTAGTTTAGAATGATTGTGTGCTTTTTGTGCTCTTCATATCAGAGCTTGAATTGGATGGGAAAAATTAGTTTCTTACTATTATTTAGAAGTTAAAATCACATGTAAAAAAGAATTATTTACAGATTTTCAAAATGATTTTGTAAATCCTTTTTAAAAGAAACAATTACAAAGTTTCAGTTCATCCAGTGCATAGTTTGCTTTGTGAATATTTTAATACCTTACCGTTTATTTCAACTCGATAAAGACTTTAAATAATGCCACGAGGTTATTTTTTTAGGACATGTTTACGCAGTAACCAGCCGGCGGGTGGAACCCTCTTAAAACATGCATTTTATACTAAGTTTAAATTTATCAAGCCTAAGTTACATAAATCAGCTATTTAAATTGTTCTTCTCGTTACATTTTGCCCAAATAAAAGGGTTTAGCCTAACAACTTTTCATTGATAGTAATTTTTGTAGTATCACAGATAAAACAGTATGTTTAGGATCACAGTTGTTTTGTACCTAAGTTCAGAACCAACTTTAAAAAAATATTCTGATTGTGATTATAGCACTTGACTTTCCCCATTGAACAACTTTCACAGTCAAGCTTTCATCTGGTTGACTTAGACCTGAGTTTGTACTTTTTCAAACTGTGTTTGCCTTACAATCAAGTGGTTTTGGTTTCTTCTTGTGAAGTTTCTGCTGTATTTCTTGTAAACTTTTTCCTTTTGTCTCCACAAACACGAAAATGGTGAATAAAGCACAAATAAAACAGCTGGCTGCGTAAATCCAGTAGTTGACGTACATTCCGATGTTGTCAGCGATCGGAAGATAGGTCTGGTTGAGGAAGAGTGAACTAAGTGCAAACACAATTGATGTTATTGCAGATGCACTTGCTCGAATATCTGCAGATAACATTTCTCCCTTGATAGCAGTTCCAATTGGACCTAAACCTAGAGCGTACATAATTCCATGAGCGGCAAAACAAGCGAAGGGTATCCAACTGACTTTTTCAACAGTTAAAGTAGTGTTTGTCTGCAAGTAGAACCACAGGCCGGCGATGAACATCATTACTCCACACCCGAACGATGTACTTGTCAGAAGCATCTTCCTTCCTAACCTATCCACCAGGAACATTGAGCAGACAGAAAATATTACCCAGATCAATGCCAGAACAATCGAACATTCTTGGGGGCGAAGAAAGCCAAGATTTGCTTTTGGAAGTGTTATGGAGTTAAAAGCCATTAAAATACCAATCCCGGCAAATTTCACAAAAATACCGTACAACTGTACAATGAAAAAAGCTTTTCTGTTTGCCCTTGTGGCGAATATAGCTTTAACAGTATTTTTACTTTTAGCTTGCTTTTGAATGAATTCTTCTATTTCGTTGACTTCCTTTTCTAATATCTCTTCTTCTACTCCGCCTCTCAACCATTTTAAAGATTGTATCGCTCCTTGTTTGTTTTTGTGGATTAAGTAGTAGTAGGGTGACTCTGGGATGGATATTAGCATTAGAAGGAAATAGACTGGAATTATATCTGCGATGATTGCCAAAGTGTAAAAAGAAACATAAGGACCTATGGCATAAACGAACAAAGTTCCCAGGTACGTCATGAAAGAAAACATATTTCCAAGAGCACCTCTTATTTTTGGCGATGCTATTTCGGCTGTGTACATTGGAGCTACAGTCGTGATAATTCCGACCCAAATTCCAGCCAGAAGTCTTGAGATACATAAGTAAATTGGACTTTTAGCAAAGACAATCAAGATCCAGGATAGAATTGGAAATATACTGCAAAAGATTAGAGATTTTTTTCGGCCGAATCTGTCCATAATGTAACCTGCAAACAAAAAATGATTTTAGAAAATTTCCCATATAGGGAATAAGCTATTACCGTTTTCTCATGGTAAAACCTAGACCTTGGACTAATTTACTTTTTAATTTTGTTTGTACCAGACGCCAGAAACACCATCATCATCATTAATTGATTGTTCAATGACAAATTCCATCTAAATCTGGTAACTTCTGGCTCAGATACAGATCTTTCTTTTTACCAATGATTTTATATTTTTAGTCCTAACCCCCAATTGGGTCGAGGATTGTATTGTAAGTAGCCCATTCTCAGATCCTCCCAGCATTAAAGCGTGATTTGGCACAGACCAACTGTCAACTGAAGCTTTTTGTAATTGTTAACTAGAAAACTGAAATTAGTTTGAGCATGTTTTTAATGACCCAAACATATCTAGTGTTCAGGATTGCAATAGAAACTCTTATAGATGATTTAAACCTACCTGTTGGTATCGGACTTAGGATATTCCCGAGGTAAAGCAACGAAACCATCATGGTGATATCATCGTGAGTTATTTGGAACGGCGCATCAGGCTCTGAAAACTTGGGCAATGTAGGGGAGGGCCAGCCAAAGTATTCTCCGCCAGACATCATCCCAATGTTGACTGTAATATTACATCAATCAGATTATTATTTCTATATTCAATAACTCAAATCAATCCTTTATTGTCATCATTTATTACAATAATGCAATAGACATGATAAATAGCCAATGATAGGTCTATACGTTTCTGTATATCAACAAGAGCTACGTCAGTATCTATAGGCCTATGAATTAAAATTACAGTTTTGTCTGTACATTGCGTATTTGGTTATTTTTACGTTTCATAGCCTAAGAAAGGCGAAACAAGTCATATTCAATTTCTGTCTGTCTGTCTGTCTCTCTCTCTCTCTCTCCCCCCCCTCCTCTCTCTCTCTCTGTCATTTTGTCCACGGCCTACTCCGAGAAAACTAGAGTACTGATCAAGATTCAAATTGTTTTTCTGTATTCACTGGATTGCTGAGAGTGTCTTTGGTTTCTTTGGTCTTTGGTGAATATGGCCTTGCTACTTTGGAAATAAAATAACAAACCATTTTGTACGATTTTTATCCAGTTTTCTCCCAATGTTTACTACATTCGTCATTTATGAAATAACGAACAACTGTTTGAATTAAGATTCTCACTTCTACTGTCACTGATATGTTTACATTAAATGTTGTTTACAAATAGGCCCACAGCAATATTTTCAATCATATTTCGTAGGCAAATCGAAAACCATTCATTGAACCAAGTGAGATACCTTAAGTGACTTATGACTTACATAACGGATTTTATTGATCGCAAGTACAATAATGTGTAACCGTAGGCCTAAATTAAAATAATCATCATCCAGGTCAGGAATCTGGATATTTTATGTCTATCAAATTCTACTTGAGTTTCGATAACCGGAAAAAAATACCGTAAATCGGAGTTGTATAAGACTGGGAAACTTAAACATTTGTAAATCATCGTCACCAATAGCCCACAATCAAGTATTCCACCACAGACAATAGACGTAATGGTCTATTCTCTGTGATTCCACTCATTAACGGTGTCACAATGGCTGTTGTATCAAGTAAATATTGAATAATCACAAAAGCAGTGGGGGATCGCGGGTGTGTTGCGATATCGGAAGATAATATACAGCTTGACATAAAATAATACATTAGTTGTGATAGGGACTGTGACAAAAATATTACCGTGTTATAAATTTGTGGTATTAAAATGTTCAAATAGCTATGCAATTTTAGGTGATAAAAGACATTCAAGTTATACTTCTTGTATTAACAAAATAAGTGTCACGATCAGGGTGTAGTACAGTTGTTGGCATAAATAACCAACATAAACAATAGCCATGATAAATTACTCGGGGATTAGAAGTTAGGACTTAAAATGTACCCCAAATTTGCATCATCCTTATGATGGATAATATCTATTGACAGCCAACGAGAGAAAAGAATTTATGTATAAAAATAAATACGTCTGCCTTAAAAAATAAGGTTGCCAATGACTCAGAAAAAAATGTACACTTAAAATATTGAAGGATTATAACAGCTATAAGACTGGTTAATTTTGATATTTGCCATATAAATGATTTCTCATTATAGTCAATGAACCTCTTAATGTTTCATGGATAATAATTTTCAAAAAGGACCTGTCCAAATCATATTGTTTCCAAAAGTTCACAAACAATTTTGATAATGTTCCTCTAGAACTACTGTAACGTACTCAGAATTAATATTGATTATCATTGATTTGCTGCTTATTGTGAGTGAATTTTCTAAAATGTAGTATCCTACCAAATCAGAAAGAGGAGTTTACTGAGTTATTGAAAATGGTTTCTGTCCAGTTAATTTTTTTTCTGATCAGGTCCACATTAAATCTATTTTCGCTTATTTTCCTTAACACGTTCGCTGCTGGCCACTAACCGGTGAGTGCTTAGTGCGGGTCTACCACCCTGAACGCTCACCCGTGAGTGGCGACATCGCCTACATTCCATTTAATTTCTGCGCAGCATCATCACACTGGGAAGAACGGGTATTTTTATGTCTGAGTTTAGCTAGGAATAAGTGCTTTATTGTGGTGTAGGTTGGTAGTAAATTTCCCCGTAAAATATCCTAGCAAGCTTAGAAATCAACTTGTTGTACTGTCTTTCTCCCTCCAATTGGCAATACAATGGTACTGGCTAGTTCCAAACAGTGCTGCTATCTGTGAGTGTTTCAGCAAACTACGCCGACTCTCGTAATTTAGAATATCACCGCACGTCATTTGCTATTCGTCAGACCGAAATATTTGAAAGCCAAACGGGTTGGCTCGCCACTGCGCCGCACTGGGGCTACACCTGCCATTGATGGGGCCGCAGCGAATGTGTTAAGTTTAGTACATTGTCAAGTATAACTAATTGTATTTCCTGTTAACTATTAACACTTATAATTGACTTCTAAACAATTATAATTCAAAAAATAAGATAATATTTTATAAAGTTTGTTTGTAAATAAACATACCAGTGATGGCAGCCCAATATTGCCGAAACTGGGCTTTAGACTCCGGAGAACTGTGAGAGAAAATCATCTTTTATTGGCCAATGTAGAACTATCCTCTGCCTTGCCACCAGCACTGTAAACACATTCGTCTCTGTCATAACTTAAAATAATTTATGACCCAATATTGACTAGCATCTTTGACCTTTGAAATATGCCAAAATTCAATCCCACTATCTGTTCAACAAGATGGCGGCGGGTAGTCCGGTAACAAAAACTATAAAACTGCTCCGTATTTTTAAGTGTAAAACAGTGATTTTATTTAACATTTGAGTTTTAAAAAGTTATTTACATTTAAATTGAACATACCTTCAGTTGTTTAAAAGTGTTATTTACTCAAGAAACGTTCCCATTCTCATTAAACTCCGGTATCTGCTGTGCCATTACGTTTTGGAAGTCAGGAAGTGATTGTGTAAACCTGATAAGACAGGCTGAAGTAACTAACGCTGCTATCTGGTCAAGGACTGGTCAGGTTGCAATCATAGCTGATAACTACAGGTAAACCAGCTTGACTGCTATTATTTTTTTTATTTTTAATAAATCAAGAGTTTTATGATTGGGCTTAAAACTATTTACTAAAGAGAATTTCTGCTACTTTGTTTTCAAATGAAAAAGCTTTTGTTGCTGTAGAAGTACATAGCCGTGTAGGTAAGGTGGATACACAAATAGTTCAGCTGTAATTGATTTTTGCATTGAGAATACAATTATTGTTTTGAATGAATTTTTAAATATAAACAAATTGTGTAAGGTAGACAATTTCTTCGTAAATAATTTAGTCTTTGCAAAAATCAGTGGACACCCTTTCTGGCCTGCAAATATTACTGAACTTCTAAGAAAGTTTCATGGGTATTTTTTGGGACAAATGAAGTTGGTTGTGTGGGAAAAAGCATTTTTTACCGTTCAAAAAATAAATTCAAATATAGTACATCAGAACTAGTAGCTAATAGGCACTAAGTGAGCTCTGCTTGATTTTGGCAAGGAATAAGAGAAACTCCACTATCTACTCCATCCCCAAACAAGAAAAAGAAATCTTCCAACTTGATGAACCCCGCCAATAAAACATCAACCCCTTTAATGTACATACACCAAATTCCTCTTTTATAAATCAACCGGACATAACACCTAAATCAAATTACCTGACAAAAAATGCTGAAAGCAGCACTAGGCCTACTGAAGACATTGATCCTGGCTTTCAACTCAGTGCTCTTACTGATAGATGCATAGATTTGGGAAAAGAACAAATAATCCTTCAGTTACAAGAAGAGAATGCTCAAAAACTTTTACAAGTTCCTCAAGATTTGCATACACAGATCATTAAACAGGAACTTGCTAAATTTAAACTAGAAAATAAAAAAGCCTTCAAACTTTTTTGGAAATTCTTCAAAATGACTATGAGAAAATATCAAAAGAAGTACGGTAACTGGTAAAACAAATAAAAACTGCATCCACTGTTCCCTCCCTTGAATAAAATTATTTAAGGCACTTTACGTAATACAGTGGCAAGACAAAAGGCAAGCTGCTCTAATAAACTGGATTCCAAGACTCTAGTCAACCTACCGGAAAAAGCCAATCTATTTTTAGGTTTAATATTATATTTTATGGCAATTGCAGTAGGATACAGAAAATTTTAATCTATCAAAAGAAGCTAGTTAGAATAATTTCTTGTACACCCCTACCGGAACATTGAAACCCCTATTCATTCAGCTCCATTAACATCAGTAATTAACATTTACGTATTTGACTCTGTGTTATATATAGCCTACTAAAAAATCCCAACTTAATCAAACAAAATTTTCATGTTTATAGCGCTAGGGATAAAACAGTTGCTACCATATATTTTTTTGGATGATCTAAAACTCTAAAAAGTTGTATTGAAATTTCATTAAAAATACACAACAAGCGAAATACATGTAATACCAAAATACCCTAGAAATACTTTTGATATTAAATTCTAAAAATGGCTTTTGGACAACCCCTTTTATTCTCCAATACCGGTACATCTTTTTGATATGCAAGTAGAGTTAACAAATTTACAAAAAAAAAAACAACAAAAAAACTTAGATTTATTTCATTAGCCTATAAAGATTATTCACTTCCATTATTCTGTGCAAATGCCACATTTCAACAATTTATTAGGAACTAGCTGTAACCCGCGGGCTTTGCCCCGTTTAACTTCTTAATTTTCAAGATTATCTCGTTCGCATGGCTCAATCACGTCCTGGTTGAAGTTTTTTCGCTACGCTAACTCGCCTCCAGGTTGAAGTTCGTTCGCTACGCTCACTCACCTTTTCGTTGCAAATTAGCTGTTGTCATAAATGTAAAAGAAATAATAGTGCTGCACCCTGTTGGTAATCCTTGTAACTTTAATGCTATTGAACATCATAGAACAGAACCAACTTGTTTAATTGAAACAGCTGTTAAGATTCAATAATTCCATTTCTCATAAGGTTAACATGGGAAACTCCAGAGCCACTGGGGCGGAGCCCGATAGGATTTTTGAAATAAGAATATGCCTATATGTTAATCGGGAATGTGAGCTATCATCATGCCAAATTTCAGCCCAATCCGACCAGTATTTTTCGCGTTCACTTGTCACAAACATACATCCATACATCCATCCATACATCCATACATCCAAACTTTCTCATTTATAATATTAGTAGGATAGTAGGATACAGTAATCATCTGTTCTAATTCCGTAAGGAATTTCTTGTTTTTACTATGTCAGTTGCTGACTGTACTGTATGACATGGTCAATGCTAATTAGGACAATAAGGATTTTTATAATTTTTTAATTTGTGTGGTAAATCACATAAAAAATAAAAAATAAAATTCAGACTGCTGGGGCTGGAAAAGACTAAATTAGGCTATATGAGTCATCCAAGACTAAACAACATGAAAAAACACAAGTTGAGTGGACAATCATCTACTTACAAAAACACTTTTGACTGATGGATAAACCTCGATGTTATGTTTGAACACTTTTTAAATCACAAATGTTTACATGATTTACACCTTTAAAGTTATTTCCTGAAATCACTGTAAGCCACAAGCAAGTAAAGTTTGGTTAGGTAACTTTTCAACAATTGTTAATCACAGTTAAATCGTTAGGTTTGACATCTTAACATAATGACTCATTTACAGTTTCGACATGGTTCTCAATATATCAGCGTTAAGTACCCTAAATTATTATCTGCGCAAATTTTTCACAAACAACTCCTAACGATTTCATTCTTATTTTGAATAACCAGTTTCTGCTTCTAAAAACAAGTGTAGTCTTTTATCCTTGTTAACGACAAGCTCAGTAGGAAACAAGACTATAAATAAAAATGCCTCCTTTAGTTTGCCTTCACTAATCTGTGAAGTACAGTAGTATTGGTATGTTAAGGTAGTATTAGGTATGTTGCTAGAGAGACTTTTTAGGAGGGATGGATACCCAGCATGTTCACAATATATTGAGGCGATATTGAGGAGTTTTGAAGTTTACCTTTTTAAAATTAAAGTGTATCTGGAGCTTCTAATAAGATAATACATTGAAATGCATAGTTCAATTCTTAACTCGTACAAATTCTTAGAGCACCTATAATAAAATATGAAAGGTCTTAACTTCGTAAAATCAGGTATTATTCATAAAATCTTTGTGATTAAATTATCTAGGTACTAAAGAGAGATTGAAGTTGAGTAGATAAATAACTCCTACAGTCAATTGAGATTCAATTTGGGAAAATGTGTATTTGAATGAAAATAATCGGTATCAGCAATCTGACACATACTTTCTCCCTCTAGCTTGTCAACAATCTTTATCATGGGTAAACGATGAGAGTAACTATGATATTTAATAGGTAAAATCACAAAAGTTGCATTAACTTCTGAAGTGTAATTTTTATAGGAATGGGGGTTTGTACTATTTGTTTGGAATTATAAGGACCATAACAAACAAATTTCAATCAGAACTGTGTCTTTTGGAAAAATAAATTATTCCGTTTGTATGGGGTTTTTTATGGGAAAATGGTACAAGTTGGGACAATAACTTTTGAAGCGTATTTTTTACAGTAATGTGATTTCTACCATACTAAATTTGTTGTGTGGTAGGCTACAGCATTTGTATCAAAATCGTTTGGGCCATTCTTGAGAAAATTTTGATTTTTGTTCATTAAGTTATTTTAAGAGGTTTTTGTGGAAAAATTACCATAAAAAAAAAATAATAAATAAAAACCTGGAGATACCATGTATTTAGTACCTACATACCAAACTTCATCAAAATCGGACTACAGGTGTGGTCTGTACACAATAATACACACTCACACAGACAGAAAGAAACAATAAGTAGGTTTACTTAATATAGGCTAATGTAGAATATGTTTGAAAGTAGTTGTATTAAAATAAATTCACTGCGATATTGAATTGGCCTACTGTACTTGGTTATTCCATTCTACACCTTTTCATTTTCATCAAAGGATTAATATTGTAAAACAGCCTCATTCAATTCAATTTGTTTACTAACGGAATAAAGATTAAAAGATTTATACTCTAGAGAATATGAGAAACACATTTATAGCCCATTATTAGAGGGGTTTGCATGCAATAGTAAGTTATTTATTGATCGTTGTCTTTCTTCTAACTATAATTTACCTTGACCTAGTACACCATTGTAAAACCAATTGATCATTTGACGAACAATTAAATCTATTGAATAAATTTAACCGATCCATTAAAAAACTAAATTATTACAGTTGTCAAATATAATTTTTTAGGAGAATCTGTTCTCTTACCATTATTACCATTGAATCCAAAATGTGAGGAATAAATGATTTTTCTTTTTCCCTCTGTACATGAACGAAAGTATTTTGTTTTTTGTCAAGATTTTCTAATTTGAGTTTTAGGTGGAAATATATTATGTTTTGGTCCCCCTGAGCCAAGAAAGCCTCAAACGATTTTGATTGAAATTTAGTATGTTAGGCCTATGTCCAACTCTAAACAAAATGGTACAACCCCCAATGCAGTAAAAATTACGGTTCAATGGTTATTGCATTTATTCTGATTTCCCCCATAAAATATCATAGTTACTCCTACCGCTTAAAAAACCCATAAGGGTTGTTGACAAGCTAATGTAATGGAGAAAATATTGTCAGTTTGCTGATATTGCTGAGTTTATTTGACTTTATATTGGGAATTATAACTAGGCTTAACAGACCTAGGGAGGAGGAGTAAACTGAATAAAAACAGTCTCAAATATTTGTTTGCACATGGATGATAAAAAACACTGTAAAATTTGAAGATAACTCCATGGTTTTTCATAATTAAATTAAAATATCCTGCAATTTGTGAAAAAGTTGAGTTTATATCCCGTTACATCTAACATTTAAGATTTCCCATTATATCTTTACATTAAATCTAACGAATGAAATGCTAAGTTATGTGTTTATGGTAACTTTAAATAGAGACTTCAAGGATGATTTAGTACTCACCTTTTATGTCTTGTGTTTTGGAATCGGTTTAAGACAATGTGAGTAGCCTACCATAAACTATACAGGGGTATCATCTACGATAAGCAGTTCAGTTTGTCATCAGGTTTATGGTAATTTGGAGACTGAATATTAACTCAGAATATGCACTGAGCTGAACCCACAAGGTTGACGTTCATATCTTGTTGCAATCAAATTTCCTAATACCAAACAGCAAGGGAAATTTTAAAAAATTAAAATTTACGAGTGGAAGATTTTTAGCGAGTTTCTCTATACGGTATTAGCTATTACTGCAGTTTTTTGCTATGTGTGTCTGTAGGTAGTAATTTTAAACAAATATGTGTATATTTATTAAAGCTAGGCTACTTCTTTATTTTAAAATGCCAATAAAAATTTAAAAATGCCTTTATTTATAGGCTTAGTCCTTGGAGGCTAGCAGCCATCTTGGATTATTTCAAACAGCTGTTGAAGGGTTATTTATCATCCAAATATATTTTTTTAATTAAATATCTAGTGCACTGTGAGATTAGAAATTTCCTTCTACTTTTGTAATTGTTTTATGAGTTGTAACGTCTAGACTCAAAGGACTATTAAGCACAAAGCATTTGTGCTTGTTTGTAATAGCGGCAAATCTTGAAAACAATGGTATTTGTATTTGACTGAGCCAAAGCCAAAGTGTAAATTTCCTTCCATTTTGAACCTCTTTAGATAGTAAATTCTAAAATCCAATACAGTTCGCTTAGTTTACAGTTATGCAGAAACTAGAATATTTAATTACAGTATTTTCTTGTCACATTTTTCTTTATTTTTGTATTAATTGATCAGTGGGAAGCTGTTTAGTGGAGCGGATCTATTTTGATTGATAGTTATGAAAGATATATTTGTAATTATAAATTGTTTTGTGAGACTAATGAGTTATCAGTCCCATCATGTTTGACCACCATTAAGTACATTATGAACAAACAATGGCTGACTAATAGTGTGTTTGTTTCTGGTGAAATCATGGATACTTAAATTTAATTGAAAGTTACATAGTAAGCCTATTAACTAATTATCAAGTATTTTGGAAGAAATAGTTAAACTTGAATAATACAACTACAAATGTTTACTGAAATTTAAATGGATAGTTTATTAACGATGAAAATATTGATGAAAAGTTGTTTTCAACATTAATAGGCCTTTATAAAAACTACAAACACTTGGTTAAGAGTAAGGAACTATAAGCAGTAACAATCTATATCATGTTACATTATTAATAAATAATAATGAATTCATTAATTTATTATTAAATAACCTAGACTGCAAAACTCGATAGTTCAAATCTAAAAAAAGTAGTATTGTAAGGTTTGTTTGTGCCTAACCAAACTAGAAATTGATTGAATACATGTTACGGTTTTAGTATTAAAACAGTTTTAAAAGTTAGTAAGGGAAAGTTCTGAAATCATAGTTTTATAGCCGCTGAGAGCACTTGCACTTCTAAGCTATATACCAAAGTGGAAGAAGTTTTTAGTAGGCCATTTCAATGCACCAACACATATAAAATGTGTTTCAATAATAACTCTGATAGACCGACACATTTAGGCTATAGCCAAGTTATCATATTATTTCTAAAGAACACATTCATACGTACAAAACTAAACCAAACCTATCTGTTTTGTATTTGTTGATAAAATTTGAGCCCATCTTGACAAAACTTTTGGACAAGACTGAATGTGTACAAAACAAGTGAACCAACCATCTGATCAACATTTTACCACTCTTTACCTTTCCTAGCGTTTTGTGCAGAAGTGTTTTTAAATTAGGCCTATTGTGATGATAAGAAACTGTTAGTAATAAAGTGTATTTGTTTAAGGTGGCCGCAGGTGAGAAGACGATGGCCGGCAGAGGATTGTGGCTGCTTGTAGCCGTGGTCTGCGTGGAGTTCACATCTGCACTCAGTAAGTATCTGACATAAGTTTAAGGTTCCCACCAATCACCGATAGCTTTAAGCTAGAAAACGCAGCAACCTATGCCTACTCTAAATTAATGTGTAAAATGATTCCGGACTAGAGTTTAGCGTCCTGTTAAACTTAGCAAAACTGTTGAATCTTGATGGTCCGATATTTATTTGTCCAAAATGGTATCTTACCAAGTGTACATTTTTGGGTCTGTTATCCAATCAATCACAATGATAAAGCTATTTAAAGCGATTCTGTCGCTCAACCAAATTCACTCCTGGGAGCCATTATGCTCCCAGGAGTGAATTTGATTGTGATTGTCAAAATTGTTTTTAAATAGGCCTATAAGGAATATAAATAAAACAATGTAATGTTGCAGCTTCCCACAAGATTTATACTATTGAAAATAAAATAATTCTGACACAACTGCAATTATAGAAATTATGCAAAATTATATGTTCTTTATTAATACTAAGGATATTTTGTAGCAGCTTAAAAATACTTATTTTTATAATTTCAGACCCATACTCCATCCTATAAGCTTTGAGTAAAGCTACGCGTAATAACTAAAATTATCATTACGGGTAACTACATACTATCTATACATACCTTTATTCAGTTATGTGCGGTTATATCTTCATAATCCGTTAATGACACCACAATGGCAAATGTTGAAAATTCAGTATGAATAAAGACAAATTCCAGGAGATGTAAACTCTGCTGAGTGGAACTATCAGATTTCACCTAATGCCGAAAATCATCGGCGGCATCTTTTCATTTCATGCTCAGTCACCGTTCAGCCGTAACTGGTTAGATCAACGACTGTTAGAACCTTGGCCCAATGATCCAATAGTCTTTCCATGTGTAACTTAACTAGGTTACGGCATAGATAAAACATACTCCCTTAGTAGATTTCTCATCCTAATGGAACAGCTGAAGACAATTTTATTGTTAGTTCTGTACAGTTTATGTAGAGGTCGTGTTTTGTTTACAATTTGTTTCCCATTAATACAGTAATTTAAAATCTCGTTTAACCAAATAATACAATCTAATCATAAACAATAAATTGTCCCCTAGTTATTTAACCAAACAGTAAAGCACAAATCATGAAATTAACCCTAAAATAATACAAACAAAATTTCATCGACACTAGCGCCCAGTGTGGCGTACATGAACTAGACATGAAAAACGAGCTTCAAAATTTACAATGGGATGAGAAGTCTACTTGTGTTGGTTAGTCTATGGTTACGGTTAGAAATTGTGTAAACTCAGTTATTCTAATTTCCAGCCACTCATCCTACCTTCATCCTTCACTCATATTTGGGTTAAAATACACACATAGTGGCGTCCCCATCTTAAATAATTGATAATTGATGTTTTTAATGTTTCTGTGTGATTTTTTTCTGATTATCCTAACCAGGAATTTAATTTGTTCTATATTTCATACTGTGTTCTATTTAGCATCAATATTCAATAAATAAAATAATTAAACACAAATAGAAGTTGGTATTTCATGTATTAGTCACAATCTTCATATTATCTACCAAGGGTTGAAATTCTCAGCTAACAATCAGTTCATTATTTATTGACTAAACTTTTAGCAATGAATTTCTCTTAGCATCCATTTTTATTTCTTGCCAACACAGTGTTTAGAAAGTGTGTAGAAATCTGCTGTAACATACTACAAACAATGGCAAATGGCCTGCCGAGGCCGGAAATAGCTCATAACATTTACATTCACTGCCAGTCATGGACAGATATGGATATTTTTATAAAGGATACATCGTAAAAATATCTTGACTGATTACCTCAAACTATTAAATTTTAAAAATAAAACTTTACAAATTTTTGCAAATTTTCCTATATGTAAGAAGCTATTACCGTAGGTGGCACAGCAATCCCTACACCCGGGACCAATTTACTTTATAATTTTATGTCCCCAGAGGCAAAAAATATTAATCTTAAAAATTTATATACGCCCATGAACAGGATAACTAAATGTTTTCAACCGATTTTGAAAACAAAAAATAGAATAAAAGTAAAAGGGCTGGATACACTTGAATGAGTTTGCAAACCAGCAAGATTGGGCCATGAGAACAAAGTATTAAGGGTTTCCTTAAAATTTTTATCATTAAAACATGCAAAAGTCCAATTTTCATTACATCCATCGAGTAAAGCTTTAAAAAAACAAATAATTGTGTCTATTGAAGCGATGTTGAAGGGGTTAAATGTTACGGAGAAAACCCAAAAATGTTCTGTAAATTTAAAATTCTCGTGTTATTTTCATAGAGAAAAAGTAAACTGTTTGTTTGTTTATGGTAATACTTATATCAAATTTAGGCAATTTTTTTATTTCATACTATACTATTAATATTTTATGATTTAATATTTTGAAGGGTAATCCTAATAAATTGGTAAAATAATAAAAGTATTAGTAAAGTTTTATTAGTCCATATATGTCTAAATTAAGAAAAACTGTTGTTGCTGGTAGTATGGTGAAAAGTCACCCAGAAAGGTTTTATCTGTACTACGGCAACTATCATGCTCGTACCGGAAATACCTTCTTCTTGGCCTTGTAGAGGACTATAAATTTGTTTTTTTATTTGAGCTTTTATTTTATTGGTTTGAATTAAGAATGTTAGATCACCATGTTTCTCTTCACTCTTTTCTAATTGGTCGATTTGTCTGTTGCAGTTCAGTCACCGCCCAGGATCGTCAAACAGCCACCCACAGACGAGTTGTTGTTCCAAGTGGCGACACAACAGAACGAAAACGATAAACCGTTCATCATAGAGTGTGAGGCAGAAGGCGAACCTGCACCCAAGTCAGTCAATGTGAAATATTTCTTTGTCATAAAATGTTATATTTACTGTACCCCCTTCTATTTAATCAACCCTAACAGGAGAGTATAGTTGGGACAACCTAAAAGATGGGTTAAAGCAGGCAACCGTAAAGATGAAACTTATATTGTTTCCAATTTATATTTACCTTTGGTAAATAACAAAACTAAATTTTAAAAACTATTACACATTATTATTACTATAAGGAGAACGGAAGTCTCTAATTCCTAAAGAGGTTGGTTAAACGAATAGGCTCTAAAAATTCAAGGTTGATTAACTCTCTCTTCTTCTGCCCAGGCTTAAGTTTTGACATCAAACTAGCGTGTATATTTACAGCTTTTGGTAAATTTCAAATGATTTGTGTGGTGATTATATTTTAATTTTTTTTTTCATTTGTTCACTGTGTAAAATCCGTTTTTTTAAACTATAACCAAACCAGAACTTCAAACTAATCTGTTTAAAAATTATTACATTTTACCATACATAAAATCAAGACATTACAGTGGGCATTTTCATTATAACAAGCCACATCATGGTTAAAAAAACATACAAGGGGGTATTTTAAAATTTTATTTTTTTAAAAGATAGGATCACAAGTTTTTATGAGTATAGACTTAGAGGTTTTATACTAATAGTTGCTGTGGCTTATGCTTAAGAGCTCTACACAGAAGTTGAGCAACGTTAAGGACATTGGCCTCTGATTGGAAGTTTGCCTGGCATATTTGTGTCATGTTTAACTTGGGCTAGCTGTGGTTTCCAGTTTATAAATAGTTTCAAATTATAGTTACGGTTATTTGTTTTGCATTATCAAGAATAAAATTACTAGTAATGTCTTATTTTTTTACCAAACAATTTATATAAGATTTGTAAAAAATTTTTTGCGTCAATGTTCAAACAATATAGTTGATGTTTATGTCTAAGACAACTTTGACGTAAAATACTTATTCCTTGTGTCAAGGAACAATCATCAAAATTTATTTAAGTTTTTTTTTGCAGTATCAGAAAAGCAATATATTTGAATTCATCAGTTAATCAGTTTCATATTTAGTTCCAAGTGAAAGCTCCTAGTGTCAAATAAGTTTTAAATAGTAATAGCTAGCTGTTTTGACTTATATGTACAATAACCAATGGAGTTTATGAACGTAAATCGATAAAGTATGACTTTCCACTCAACTTAAAAGCCATATTAACTATAAAGTGTCCCTTTATGAAAACATGCATTTCCTCGTGCCGTTACCTAAAACGTAAAAGTGTGTACCAATGACTGTGTCGGTACAGAGTACAGACAGAAATTGAATTATCTGAATTAAAATTGCTGCCTTGTTGTGAAGGTTGTTGCCCTAACAAAATCTATTAATGGATTTTCAATATCTACTTAAAAACTTAACATAATCTGAATTTGAGTGGTAATTCACTTTTTTTCTATGATGTCAGTGTGCATCATTAAATCCCCTTTTTATCCTATATTATCTGTATTTGGCCCTTTTTTGTTCTGATTTTTCCTGTTGTGTTTAGGTATCGATGGATAAAGAACGGCAAGAACTTTGACTGGCAGGCTTACGACGACAGGATATCACAACAACCTGGCAGAGGAACACTGGTCATCACGTCACCTCGAGATGAAGACTTGGGTATGTTAGTGTAGTGACAACACAGCTACTGCTAGTCTTATGAGAGCATCAGCTGACTTGTTTTGTTAATTAGGGGAAATTTAGGCTAATAGGGGAAGCCTAGTGATCTTTATTTCCAAAACACTTTGAAGATTTGTTTTATGTTCTGCATCTTATTCAAAAACGTTTTATCTTTTCTGGTAAAATAAAAAAATTATTTTGTTGTTGTTGATAATCGTAAAGATTGTATTCAGCTATCAAGTAAAAATATTTTATTGTTCAAACATTTTGTCAGTATGTTATTGGGTAAATATTTTATATGCATTTATGGCATTGTTGGCTTTTCATTATTGAAGTAAAGTTTTGGCACCAACAGATCAGGTGATTAAATGAAACCATACAATTTTGTAAGCTTCAGTTCACTTTCAAGGTTTCTTGTTAAGGGATTAAAACGTATAAGAGGCTTAAAAATGAAGCAATATTAGAGAACTAAAATAGGCTACATGTTCAGATACAACATGAAAATGTCTCATTTTGTGTAAATGTTGTTAGTTGTTGTCAAATAAAATGCACTAGTATGCCTGCAAACGTTGTTTTAAAACGAATAACAGTAATAATTTTCAATGACTTTAAAAGAGTCGACTCAAAGATTATGGAAATACTCACGATGTACATAACAGTTTGATATAATCAACATTTCTTGTAAATATCTTTAAGCTGATCTTGCTTTTTAGTGTTTTCTACAAATGTTTCCCACTTATAGCCGCATTAGGTTGTCCATAATAATAATTATGAATTCTAAAAAAAAAACATTATTTCTGTTTCTTCTAATTGGTGGTATTTTATGACTTTCCTATGTTTCCATAGTTAGCAAATTGGCTCTTTCTGTAAAACTCTGTAAAAACACTGTAAAGAACTGTGAAACTCGGTTTTGTAGCAGTGTATTCCCCTCTTCTTTGGACCCGTTTAGTTCCTGGTTGAGATGGCTACCTGCATATCAACTTACACACTCAAACACGGACAACAGTTAACAACCCATTTGTCTTTTACTGTACTATTAATTTTACACACAGTTTGTGGTCTAAGAATGCATTAATTTATGTTGGTATCAAATGTACTGGATGTACAGTTATCCTTTATTAATGGTTAGGAAAAATTAAACTATCCAAAATGATGTTCAAGGTATCTATGATATTTTGACGTTGATATTTATACAATAGTTCTAGGGACTGCCTTACATAACTTAAATGCCTTTGGTCATATTACAAAACAATTAAAGCCTAGTGTGCTAGTAATAGAATCTTTGTGACTGCATTATACATCAATGCTAGTTATTAATTTCAACGCCAAAATCTCTTATATTGAAAAGTAAAGTCTATAAAAAATATTTTGATCTCTGTTTAACTCGTAGTGGACAATAATTACTATTTCTTCCTTACCTCTCCAGGTCAATACCAATGTTTTGCGTACAACGAGTGGGGGACGGCCACTTCGAACTCAGTGTTTGTGCGTAAAGCCGAGCTGAACTCCTTCAAAGATGAGGCTCCTCAGACATTGACTGCAGAGGAGGGGAATCCCTTCAAGCTGACCTGTCAACCTCCTGACGGATGGCCTAAGCCCAACGTCTACTGGCTCATACAGGTACAGTCAGGACTGGACGTAGTTCAGATTAAACATTTTCAAAGTTTATCCTTGAATGCATATGGTCTATTAGAAAACACACTAGAGTTGGTTTTGTATAAGTCTAATCTAAATAATGAAAGGAAACTTGTTCATTAGTTATCTACTGTAAATGAAAGGTTTGCATTTTTAATTCAACAAATTATCGACTCAACTTTCAAGTGACCATCTCTTACTTCATCTGAAAATCAAACTGCAATATATATAGAAAAAAATATGTTCAAAAATTAATACATTATTTGAATTGATTGACTATTTAAAACACCCACTGTCATTAAAAAACCATATACAAAATATATTTGTTAAATAATCAACAATCTTTATTGACTCTATCCTAATCACGTTATGAAATTGTCGTCTTCTGCTCATTTACATTCTGTTGGCCATGCCCGACCATCTAGCTTCAAGTGTACCTGAGTTTGTTTGCTGTGTTAAATATCATTATCTTCACAGTGTTTGGATTATACAATTTTAAAAGTTATTGATACCATCCTGTTATATATATGCTATAAATCATGAATAAAGCATTTCTGATTCTTATCCTGATACCACAATGGAAAACATCTGTTGTCAAACCTATTTTTCAATTGATTTTGAATTTTTATGATGGTTCCTGTTAACCCTTGTTTCAGTTTGATGAGGTACAGTTAAAATGAGTTTTGCTGTACTGTATTAGTTTTTAAGTATTATGTAAATCTTTAAGACTTCCTCCTGTTTATCCAACTCTTTAGATGTTCATCCAAGACAATTGACCATTGGTTATTATTGCAGAACTCTGACGGAGGTATCAAGAGTATCAACAACTCAAGAATGACTCTGGACCCAGAGGGTAACCTTTGGTTTTCCAACGTGACAAGACAAGACGCCAGTGATGACTATCACTACGCCTGCGCTGCCACTTCTGTGTTTAGGTAACTGCTTTGACTATCGATACAATCAGACATTCCATCATTCCATTCCCATGTTAAAGTTGTTGTTAGTTTTAGAATAAAAATGGATGTGGTTGAATGAATGGATTCAAATGAGTGGCTGATTTGACTGAGTTCTTTGCTTAACAAAAACTAGGTCCAAATAAATGGGATGTGTGCTTCAGTACCCTAAATTCAATAGTGACTGTTTCTCGCATGTTACGAGAAACGTATGACGTAGGTCGTATGTCGCCTGTTAGAAAAGTCTCAGGCACTTAATTTGTGGTAATTTATCAGGTGTAAAATATAAATAAATGTTCATTAAGAAATGTGTATTTTGAGCTTTAAACACAATCAATGACTGATGTTTTAGGAATGAGTACAAACTGGGTAACCGAGTGTTGTTGAACGTGGTGGCCACGGGGATCTCTGCTGCTCAGAATAGACACGAGCCCGTGCAGCAGTACGTGACCAGGAAGAACGAAGTTGCGTTGAGAGGGAAGAAAGTGGAGATATACTGCATATTCGGTGGAACGTAAGATGCCATTATATGTCACCTAGAATAACTTTTGTATCTAGATGGGAATGTTCAGTTACAGCTAAAACGGAAAACGGTAATCGATTTTTACAATGCATTTCTATCACATCACGTGTACATAAAATCGTTCATTCAATTGTGTAAATCATTATTAAAAGAATTAAAAATACTAACACTCCCACCAAATTATATTCTGCAAACTCAGCTCTTAATTTAAAAAAGATCTGGAATATTATTTAAATAAAAACTGTAGTCATAATGTTTAACAAGACATCAAAACAATTTACACCTGCCCATTCATAGACTTGCCTAGATTGAATCTCTTCCACAGTACATAGGAAAAGATTAAAAAGGAAGTTACAAAATTGCTCATTGATAGAATGTACTATATTCTTAAATTATGTGTTTGTATAGGTTCTTAGCATAATATTTTGTTTTAGTTGTAGCTTAATATTTTAATTGTTCATACTATTTCACCTGTTTGTAAAGGATATGTGAAAATAAACGATTGACTATTGATGATCTTTAGTTGCTTGCTCTTTCTATATTTTTTTGCACAGAACCGGGTATAGGAAATTGTATTTGTACAATTTGGCTTATTATATGTGAAATGTAGACATATGCTCAATCACTCAATTATCAAAAAAAGAGAATAATAATTTACTTATTGTACCTATACTGAAACAAAACTGATTCATGTAAAATTAGAAAAAAATCTTGGTAAATTTGGTTTTATTTGTTGAAGAAACTTTATCCTAAAGAATTGTCTTTATTTTATTTAAAGTTTGGTTATTTTTTCTTCTAATTTGTTTCACTTAGTTTTTTTGTTCTCAAAATCCTCCAGTATTATTAAACTTACTTTGCTATTTGATTTCAATATTATTTTTATTTTCATATTCACTAACCTATTAGATTCTACTAAAAAATAAATCTATACAAAAAATCTTGAATTTGTAATACATTGAAATGTCAGGTATTAAAACAGTTGTTAACCGACTCAGTTGTAATATTCTGCTGTCAAATTTGTTTCAAATCAGTGTTTTGTTTTTGAAGTAGTAGGAAGCAGTGATCCATGTTTTTCAGTTGGTTTCACTCTTTGTTATGTTCATTGTCATCACGTGCCATTATAAAGAGCACTCAGGCGTGACTATTTTGTGTCTGGTGGAAGTTGGTATTGTTATTTTCACAGAACAGTATATTTGTTGAGAAATAATTAAAATGTCTTTAAATTGGTTTTAAATGTGCTTTAAAAGTCCAGGTAGGCCATGGTACACATTGAAGACACATTAATTAGTCTGGTTTTCCACTTTTAAAGCTTAACATTTGATAATTACATAACTTAAGTGTAAATGTGCTACTTATGAAAACTTAACACAATTTTCTTTTTATCTAGGAAATAGAAAACTGTTAGGGGGGGGGGGGTACATTTGGTAAGTCTGAAATGAAAAACTTAATTCTTCTTAGAATGTTCAGCATATTGAAGTTCTAAAACTTCTTAGATACAAACTGTTTTTCCGGTTGTGTTATTTTGTTTGGGGAAAGTTTTAAATACGTTAAACATGATTTATTGGGTTACAAGGAGGATAACCCTTAAAACAAAAATTAATTCAATGACGTGCACATAGATGACTATGTTCTATGATTTTTTAAGGGTCCTCCAAAAATAAACCAAAACCTTATGACAAATTTATATTAAAAGCAAAACACACAACTCTAGTTTTTAAGTGAAAAGGGCAATAGTAAAAACCAACGTCGTAAAATATTTGTAATTTTGCAGGCCATTACCGCAGACGGTGTGGAGTAAAGATGGTCGACCGATACAGTCGTCGGACAGAGTCACGCAGGGCAACTACGGCAAGAGTCTGATCATAAAACACGTCAACTTCGAGGACGAGGGGGCGTACACTTGTGAGGTGACCAATGGAGTGGGAGAGGGCAAGACTTACTCCATCAACCTACAAGTCATGGGTAACTAGCTTTTTTTGCAATGTGTCTGGCTCCCGGATATCCCCGATCTTTTGATAAAGTCTCCGATATTTCATTTGCATCCTGGATGTCCCCAATAAAACCACAAGGTTTTACAATGTATTCCCAATTTTTCTTACTTAAAACTAAAACTAATTTTAAATGTAAACAATTGTTTCACCCAAGTAAGTAATATTGTTTGAATGAGATATTTTTATGCTGATGAGTGAGGCTAGGCGTTGTGTTGTTGAACAAATTTAATTTTACCATAAACAGTGATTTTACACATAAAGTATCTTTGACAAGTGCTGTTTAAGGCCCCAGAAAATCTGAAAACGCTCCCAATATGTTGGTGATAGGTGCTGGGGTTGCTATGGACATCCTGTTTTGTCCGTCAAACATTTTCAGAGAAAATTCAGCTCCTTAAGTTTGTGGTGAGATGAGAAAAACAGAAATAGGGATGAATAAACCATTGAATACTTAGGGCACAGGTAAAGGACTTAATTTTCTATTTAAGTTAAGTCTATGTCCCTGTTGTAAAGTTTAGTGTGATTAACACAAATATATTCTGTTTAGAGGTAACAAGAGATGCGAGACAATTGTCACTAGACATTATAACTTGCTATATTTTTTTTTGCAGCTGTACCGTATTTCACGGAAGAACCGGAGATCAAAAACGAAGCGGAAGACGAGATGGTGGAGTTCCGCTGTGCTGCGTCAGGAGTGCCGGAACCACAGATTAAGTGGATCCACAACGGTCTGCCGATAGAGCAATCCCCAACCAACTCTCGGCGCAAGGTAGGTTTCATCGTCATCACAGTAAGACGAGAACACAATGCTTCCTGAAAGAAGCACAAATGTGAAATGTAGTAAGATGTTTTGCTCAGCTTTCTTACTGACTAAGAACGTTCTGTTTTCTCAGCTTGTTTTTCAAAGACCTTGTATGATCAAGGACTTCTAATTCTAGTTGCGAACTATCAAAAAGCTGCTGACCTTTCTTAGGATTGAACTAGTAACCTTCTGATTTAGATCACATTTAGGTTGTTTGTTTCATTTTTTACTTGAAAATGTACATTTGCCTTCAGAAAAGTGATAGTAGAGGTTGGTAAAGGTTGTAACGTTCACATTTTTAAACTTTTATATTCTTTTTAGAGACGCTTCTTAAAAAATTATATTTCAAATACCTTTTCAAAAAAATCCTTACTAGCCAATTTTCTTTATCCATTAAATAAAATATTTGAAGTAGTACTAGTACCTTAGACTTGAGATTGTTGCCAAGTGCTAAGGTGGTTTTTCTTCTCTTTTAATTATGTGTTGAAGCTGAATCTTAAATTCACTGAATTTCAAGGAAAGATTCCAATTCACAGTTTGATCCGCTGGACTTGATAATCAAATTTCAACTCTCATATTGAGCTACGTCCACCAATTGCTCGTGCTTACTCAATTCATACGATTGCTCATGGCAGTAAATATAGTATTAACTAACTGAAGATAGGTGTATCAAAATCAGGAAATTTTCTTTTTCTGTTTAAGGGCAGAGTGAAATTACTAAAGGATTACTTTGAGAACATGAATCTCATGATATTAGCTTATACCTCTCACACAAAAAGAGAATTGACAAAGTGATTTTCCCTCAGGTGACTCCCAACTCCATAGTGATAGAGAAGTTGCAGAAGACAGACACTGGAAACTACGGCTGCAACGCTACCAACAGTCTCGGATATGTCTACAAAGATGTTTATCTCAACGTGCTCAGTGAGTTGGATTGGAACATATTACAGTCTCTAAGAAACATGACAGTGTCTTAAGTTTATTTTGAATTTTTTGTTAATATAAATATTCTCTCCATGTAAATTATAGAATGGAAATGAACATACGTAGATTCCATGAAGCACGTCTAAGTGTGAACACTAAAAAGTACTTCTTTGAGAGATATTTGATGTGATAGAAAGTTTTTGTGTTTTTCCAAAATCCTAACCATTTCTTCTTTGCAAACTTCTGTTTTATAAGGACATAGTTTTGTCTTGTTTTCACATATTTTTTTGTATGGAGCCCATTTCAGTTCAGTTGTCCGCTAAGAAATCAACTTCAATTAAATTTAATTTTCCGCAATTAATTGGGTTTTCCGAGTATTGGGTTTTATAGAATCTGTATAGGCCTAAGATGCAATAGGCCTAATTGAGTTCTTTGGGGAAAATGCAAGATTTTAATTTTTGAAACCAAGCTTTGAAAAACTTTGTACAGACTTGAGGGATAAGACATTTATCTGAAATTAAGGTACAGTAAACCTTTTTTTATCTGGATCCTTTTAATACCAACTTAGCTTAATCGGGATAGCCATGTGACAGTTGTTGAAAAGATTTCACACTGCACATACACACTGTAAATTACTCGGAGATTTTTTGTACAAGATTTTTCTACTACAAACAAAGAATAAACAGTCCCTGAATATCAATCTTTACTTCATTTAAAAATTGTTTCAGTATAGGAGAACCTGGAACTGCAATAAGTCCGGGTTATTGAGATGTGTATACGAATAACACACAAAGGATTTATGCTAGTAGAAAGTAATTTCTATAAAAATGAAGGAAATTCTTTGTTTAAAGTTCAGTTTTGGTAATGACGAGGTTAATTATTATTTAAGAGACCTTTGCAGACATTTTTCATCACTAATATTAAAAATAAACAAAGTTTCACGTTCAAGATCTGGAATCTGGTCCCGTCCTAAGTTGAAAAAGTTCCTAAAACGTAATAAAATTAGTTTGCAAACCCAGTCAAAGCTGGAAAGTCGCATGTAATAACTGCAGAGTACTCAAACAAAAACCAAAACAAAAGCCCTTAGATAAAACAATACGATAGTAACTAACAAGATTAGGAGAACACAATGGACATGTCCACACAAAATGGTGCTCTAGTGAGACTCCACAGACACCATGATTTCTGTTTAGTTAGTAATGTCATGGGAAATGTCTGCAATAATCTCTTTAACATAAATCAGTACAATTTGATACAAAATGTTATGTGTTGGTAACAGTGCTAGCACCGGAGATCACAGAACCACCCCAGGACTTGTCCACTGTGGATGGCCTCACTATTACTCTCAAGTGTCGAGTGTTTGGAGCCCCCAAACCGCAGGTCAAGTGGGTTAGGAACTCTCTTGAACTGACCGGAGGACGTTACAACATCTTGGAGAGTGGCGACCTTGAGATCAGGTAAGTCACAGTTTCCAATTTTGCCAGCCGCTAATGTTCTCAATTTTTCTGTGTGATTGAGGGAGATGTTTACGATTTTGCTATGACCGCAAATCCTCAAAATATCACTGTGACTGTAGAAGTCTTTGACAATTTTGCTGTGACCCAACAGACGTTCTAGATTATTGCTGTTTGCAAAAGATGTTCACGATATCACCATATCTACGGAAGATGTTATAAAATTATAACATACGCAGATGACACTTTTTTAATTTTAAATCATTTAAACTTAAATACTTTGGAAATCTCTACAGATATATTTACAACTGGCATAATCCAATACTTCGATGAAAATCGTATATCAGTAAATGTAGATAAGACAGCTTTTTTGAATTTTTCAACAGGAATGTTAAGTTTTGACCCTAAAATTTTAGTGGAAGAAGATCAGGTCATAGACATTGATCCACAAACTAAATTCTTGGGTCCCATGGTAGCTTTGGGGAATTTTGTGAGGAAACTTTAAAAACAATATTGAGATTCTTACCGTTCCTCGCATAATCATTTACCGAGTTTTAATATTTCAAAGCTAATATCTTTAAAACAACAAATGAACAATTTCACTCATATAACACTAGAGGTAAAAGTAACATCCGTATCAGTAGATCAGACTTTCTACAGATTTTGGAACAATCTACCAAATCAATTTCAAAATTTTCCTCATAATTTATTTAAAAAGAAGTTGAAGAAAGTTTTAATTAAGCTCTGTTTGTTTATAATAGATGAATTTTAGCTAGTGACTGACTAAAGATGAATTTAATTTACTAATGTTAGAATATGTTATAAGATAAGGTGAATAAGTTAAATTGTGTTAAATTTAGGGATAGACGGGCCCCAAAATTTTGGGAATTTTTCAGGAAAAAAATATTCCCGATTATCGGGACGGGATTACATTTGATTCGGGAATTTTTCGGGACGGGATCTGGTCCGATCGTCGGCGATTTTGCCGCTTCGCGAGTGCCGATAACGCCGGTATTGCGAGCGATAGGTCCGCGAACACAGGAGACGAAGTCATTTCGACGATTGCGCCGTGACCGCGGAGTCATAACGACGATCGCGCCGTGACCGCGGAATCATAACGACGATCGCGCCGTGACCGCGGAATCATAACGACGATCACCCCGTGACCGCGGAGTCATAACGACGATCGCGCCGTGACCGCGAGTCATAATGACGATCGCGCTGTGACCGCGGTGTCATACCGACAGTCACGCCGTGACCGCGGAGTCATGCCGACGATCGTGCCGTGATCGCAAGTCATACCGACGATCATGCCGTGACCGCGAGTCATACCGACGATCACGCCGTGATCGCGAGTCATACCGACGATCACCCCGTGACCGCGGAGTCATGCCGACGATCATGCTGTGATCGCGAGTCATACCGACGATCATGTCGTGACCGCAAGTCATACCGACAATCACGCCGTGACCGTGGAGTCATACCGACGATCGCGCCGTGACCGCGGAGTCATGCCGACGATCGTGCTGTGATCGCGAGTCATACCGACGATCATGCCGTGACCGCGAGTCATACCGACAATCACGCTGTGACCGTGGAGTCATACCGACGATCGCGTCGTGACCGTGAGTCATACCGACGATCATGCCGTGACCGCGAGTCATACCGACGATCACGCCGTGATCGCGAGTCATACCGACGATCACCCCGTGGCCGCGGAGTCATGCCGACGATCATGCTGTGATCGCGAGTCATACCGACGATCATGTCGTGACCGCGAGTCATACCGACAATCACGCCGTGACCGTGAAGTCATACAGACGATCGTGCCGTGACCGCGGAGTCATGCCGACGATCGTGCTGTGATCACGATCATGCTGTGACCGCGATTTATACCGACAATCACGCTGTGACCGTGGAGTCATACTGACGATCGCGCCGTGGCCGCGGAGTCATGCCGACGATCGCGTCGTGACCGTGAGTCATACCGACGATCATGCGTTAACCGCGAGTCATACCGACGATCACGCCGTGACCGCAGAGTCATACCGACGATCGCGCCGTGACCGCAGAGTCATACCGACGATCGCGCCGTGACTGTGAGTCATACCGACGATCCAGCCGTGATCGCGAGTCATACCGACGATCATGCCGTGACCGCGAGTCATACTGACGATCACGCCGTGGCCGCTGAGTCATACCGACGATCGCGCCGTGACCGCGGAGTCATGCCGACGATCGCGTCGTGACCTTGAGTCATACCGACGATCATGCCGTGACCGCGAGTCATACCGACGATCACCCCGTGACCGCGGAGTCATACCGACGATCGCGCCGTGACCGTGAGTCATACCGACGATCATGCCGTGACCGCGGAGTCATACCGACGATCGCGCCGAGACCGTGAGTCATACCGACGATCACCCCGTGACCGCGGAGTCATACCGATAATCACGCTGTGACCGCGGAGTCATACCGACGATCATGCCGTGACCGCGAGTCATACCGACGATCACCCCGTGACCGCGGAGTCATACCGACGATCGCGCCGTGACCGCGAGTCATACCGACGATCACCCCGTGACCGCGGAGTCATACCGACGATCGCGCCGAGACCGTGAGTCATACCGACGATCACCCCCTGACCGCGGAGTCATACCGATAATCACGCTGTGACCGCGGAGTCATACCGACGATCGTGTCGTGATTGCGAGTCATACCGACGATCATGCCGTGACCGCGAGTCATACCGACGATCACCCCGTGACCGCGGAGTCATACCGATAATCACGCTGTGACCGCGGAGTCATACCTACGATCGCGCCATGACCGTGAGTCATACCGACGATCATGCCGTGACCGCGAGTCATACCGACGATCACCCTGTGACCACGAGTCATACCGACAATCAGTCATTTCGACCGCGAGTCACAAGTTTCTATAGGTAAATAAATATATGTTTCTATACCTGTAAATTGTTACCCATTTTTTGGTTTTTATAGATCAGTGCCACAAACGGTTAAAGTTGATTTTCATGTCTTTTTTGGTAACTGCAATACTCAAGACTTTCTTTTTATGCACAGAAAAAAATCCCGTCCCGTCCTGTCCCGAACTAAAAATTCAATCCTGTCCATCCCTAGTTAAATTATGTTTATGTTTAGGTTTAGGATTAATTGATGAGTTAAGAGATACTAAATGTACCACATTATGTATTTTACTAACAATAAAGTATCTTGTATGTATCTTGTATGTTTCAATTTTGTCGTGATCGGGGAAGTTGTTTCTAATTTTGACGTGACCTGGTGAGATGTTCTCAATATCATGGCGATATGAGGGAGATCAAATACAATATTGTTTAAAACGATTGCAATGTTATAATTTCTTAAGTGCCCTGATTTTGGCCCGACCCAATTCTAGCCCAAGACCTGAAGGTCAAATTTTTACCCGACTCGATATTAAAAAGTCTGTCTGCTGTTTTCTATGAAGAGGAATGAAGGATTTGACAATTTTCAGTTTATTTTTGCTTTGTAGTCGGCTTTATGGTTTAGAAACATTAAGTGTTGATTTTTATATTTTAATTCTCAATAATGTAAGTTGTTAAGGCCAATTCTGTTTATTGAAACACTGATTGGTTGTTTCAGAGATGTAAGTTTCTTGGATGTTGGTCATTACACATGTTACGCATCCAACAAGCTGGGAAGTGCTGAGGCTTCTGGTACACTTACTGTCAAAGGTGAGGTGAATTCGGTGAAGAAAAACATTTTAACTCTTATACTGAGTTCAATCTTACTCAGCTGAAGGTAGATGTTCTCACAAGGGCTACCTGATATGTAACAGAAAATTGGGGTGTATTTAAGGTTTACTCAACAGTTCCAATTATGTTTATTTTCAACTTGTGGAACTTTAAAATATGTTTTATGTTTAGTAGACATTGATACAGTCTAGGCTAGCTCCTCGCACGCGTCGCGCATCAATTAACCCATGGGAAATGTTTGTGACTCTTACGTGTGTATTCGTTTTTTATGTTCGTGTTCGTGTTCGTGTCCGTAGTCGTATTTGTGTTCTCGTAGTTTTAATGTGACGAATTCGTATGAATGAAAAATTTTGACCTCCTTCGACACCTGAAGAAAGCCCCCTGAGGGCTGAAACTGCAGTAGTGTAATATACTACTCAAAGGATCACCTGACAGTTAAAGGTATTTAAACCATTTTTATTATACAAAAGAAAAAGGTACTTATTAATTAGTGATGTTGATGTGTCAAAACCAAATCTCAAATTTTTGGTTTTGAGGTTCAATTGGTGATATTTCAAATGTGTTGTTTGAAAACCGTGATTCGCGGCAACTTAGTTGTACAGTAAATTTGTGATCAGACGACAACTGGATGAAATCAAAACACTTCTATTCAAGGGTGCAGTTAAGGTGGAAGCCAGAAAGCCTTGCTGCAAGTTGCTAGAATGTCTAAAACCCCTCCCCTTGGATGTAACCTGCAACCTCCACTTGATACATCAACAGTCGTGGAAGTCAAATTACCCTAGTGCTCTTTACATCAAGTCTGAAACGTGGGTAAATAGAAGCTTTGTTGTCAATTTTGACACTGTCATTGCACAAAGATCATGAACCGTGGTTTTTCTTATCTGTGAGAAAACCGTTTTACTGAGCTTACTCTACATTGCCCACAGAACACACGAGGATCACGGACGAACCAGAAGACTACGAGGTCCCTGCAGGTTCTACGGCTACGTTCCGTTGTAACGCAGTGTCTGATCCATCGTTGCATCTGAGCATCGACTGGCTCAACAATGGAGAACTCATAGACTTTGACAGCGAGCCCCGATTTGTCAGGTATGTAAACGTTGGTTTCAACACTCTTAAGATTAAAGTTAATTTTAATACAATTCTACTCTAAAATTCTACTGGAATTACATTTGTGATGACACAGAAGAATCTAACATATGCAAACAAATTTAAAATAGAATCATTATTGTGAGTTACAAGAATTTATGTTTAAAGTTTTAAAAATAAACTGAATTTTCCCTTGTTAAAAAAAAATCCCATCCTGAACTAATCATGATTAAGCCTTTGTTTATTATTTATTGTTTTACTAACACATTTCTCACCATTAGTAGAAAATGAACTTTCAGTTCTTCACCAGCAATAGGGTGGATAATTTCATTAATCCACATGTACGGCATACTGTAAAAGTTTTAAACTTACATTTAACTGTTCCGTTATTGTGTACATGTGTGATTAAATTGTATATTGTGTAATTTGTTTGTCTCCCTATGATTGTATCAAATATTATACAATGTGCTGCTTTAAAATCATCTATGCTACTGCTGATGATGAACTAAGCATGATGAATTGACCTTTGAGATGTTCATTCAACATTTGAATAAAAACCTGGCTACAGCTGGTCCATATATGATAGTTCTAATAGGACGGTGGTTGTCATGTTCCAGGTCTAACGACTACTCCCTCACCATCACAAAGACAACTGAACTTGACTCTGGCACTTACACTTGTGTGGCATCCACAGAACTGGATAAGGCTACTGCTCAGGCCACACTTACAGTACAAGGTAAATAACATGAGGATCCCTCTCACTTAGTCCTCTTTAGCCAAATTTGAGATGAAATATCTTAATTTTACCACCAATATTTAAAATAATACATCAGTAACCAAAAATTCTTACATTTGAAATCCTTTCCTCACAGATGTTCCGAATGCGCCACGCCTAACCAAGTTGGATTGTAAGAAGCGTGAGGCTTCATTGTCGTGGATCCCAATGGGAGACAACCGTGCACCCATCCTGCGTTTCACCATTCAGTACAACACCACCTTCACACCAGATGTATGGGAAGTTGCATTCGACTCCGTACCTGCCACCGATCTCACATACACTGTGAGTATGAACGAGGAAACGTTAAATTAGTTTATTTTCATATCGTATAATGTTTTCACAGACCTAGAAAGTTATAGATAGGGTACTGCGGACTCCCAAATTTTTGGGAGGGAGTCAGAGGATCGGGTCAGAGATTTGTTTGGGCCAAGATCGGGTCGAGCCAAAAAAAGAATAATAGTTTGTTTTCAAAGAATTCAGTTTGCTCACGACGTTTAAGAATAAAGACTCAACAGAGCAATTGAGGCCTAAAGTTAGATGGGGTTTCAAAAAATATATTTCTAAGATCAAATAAAATATTAACAAGACACAAACTACCATGAATTCATTTCTTTGAAAATAATCTTAACAGTTTTATGTTTTTGAATAAAGAAATATATCTTTTTGTCTCAACTTTCTTGTTACGTTACACAATTTTGTCAGCAACTGGAACAACCAGGTGGTGTAAGAGGGGAGGGGGAGGGGGCAAGACCTGTTGAGAGTGATTTATGGTTTTTTGTTTTGATCCTACTACCCTTCCATCCGAGAAAAAGACCCTGCAGTTTCAAAAACATTGACTTACGGTTTAAAAACATTGACTTGTGTTGCTGATTGGGACACTAGTAATGGGGCTTTTGTTGCCAAGGTGGCATTTAATTTTCTTTTTACTTAATAGTTCCTTTTTGAGTACCTAATTAATTGTGCTATTGTTTGACTTGAGTTAATGGATTTTTAATTCTTTTCATTTATTAGCTATCAAAATCAGTCGTTTTTAGATTTTAATCTTTTACAGTAGGTCTATCTATACTACTGTATGTCAAAGTCAAAGATTTTTATTGTCTTTAAACACATGTGTGCAATTGACAAAGTCACAAGCATATAATGTATGTAAATAGCCTATTCTAAGTAAAAGGTACATTGAAAAATAGAATATTAATTTATAGATAAAAACAATAACAAAATATAAAAACACCAGGGAATGACATAACAAACAATTAATATAAAATCTAAACAATTATCCAATTTAAATTCTTAAAGTACTAATGTCACAAGCTAAAAACTCATCAACAGTATAAAAAATATGTTCTCTTAACCATATTTTAATCTTATTTTCAAACTGTTTTGAAGTTATATTCCACATGTTTTCTGGCAGTTTATTAAATAATTTAATTTTCATATAAACATGACTGTTTCTTGTTTTTTCCAACCGTACAGAGATTAAGTTAAGAAGATAGTTTTTCCTCGTTTGATAGTCATGTATTTCTTTTCTAACAGACAATTTACAAATAGAATTCTTAACATCCATCAGGCAGCAATATATGTACAAATTTGGAAGAGTCATTATTTTAAGCTCTTTGAATAAAGGAACACATGACTCCCTATCTGAAACATTTGTAATGACTCTTACAGCTCTTTTTTGCCACTTAAAAGCCTCTAATGCACTACACGAGTTGCCCCATAAAGTTATGCCATACTTTAAGTGAGAATGAAAAAAAGCATAATAGGCAGTTATCAGCATGTTTTTGGTTACACAATCTTTCAACTTTCTAAGAAGGTGAATTACTCTAGACAGTTTTCTACACAACTGCTCGACATGAGTTTCCCAACTTAACCTACTATCAAGATAAATACCTAACAACTTAACAGGTTTCACATCTTTATAAATAGAAAAGTCCAAAGAAAATATAATTTGTTCAGTCTTTTTTTCATTAACAATTAAAAGATTAGAATGAAACCATTCCATTGCTATTTCTAAGGCTTGGTTCTCAGTTCTTATTAGATCATCTAGGTGTTTTTTACTGTTAAGAAGTGTGGTATCATCTGCATATAACACTGTGGCACAAGGAATATTTGAAGCAAAATCGTTCACAGCAATAATAAATAAAAGAGGTCCAAGGACTGATCCCTGAGGCACACCCATTAATATTGTTCTAAAGCCAGACTTATCACTGCCCTGTACCACCATTTGTTCTCTACCACTCAAGTATGATTTAAATAAATTAAGTTCTTTACCTCTGATACCATAGTGAAACAGTTTGTCTAGCAGTAGCTCATGATTCATGCAATCAAAAGCTTTAGTAAGATCTATGAGTAAGGCAGATGATAACAGCTTATTTTCGAAGTTTTCTAACACTGTTTCTATCACATTCTCTACTGCTTTTACTGTATTTTTACCTTGCATGAAACCATACTGTTCCTCACAAAACAAATTATTAGTTACAAAAAATGTATCAAGTTGAGCCTTAATAGGCACATGATTTGCAATTTTTACAGTCCCTACCAATTATACCATAAACAATGTGTGTGTAATTACTGTGTTTTAGTTTTATAGTAAATCAGTTTACACAACATCTTTTCTTCAATTAGTTCTCCACTTGTCATGTTGCTTAGCCTATTACTATTTTAGGTCCTATAAAAATCATTCTTGTGTAAAATAAAGCTGCAGGCCTACTATTCAATTCAATTCAATTCAATATTTCTTTATTCATTGAAGCACAAAGTACATGAATAGTGTCATTCTCTTAAATGTTTTTATATTACAATGTTATATTCTATGGATACAAAGTTCTTAAAATCTAACATAAGTTTATACAAATTACAAATGAATGCTCCTTCTAAAAAATTTAAAGTTCATCAAGGGAATACAATACCTTGTTGATGAGAAATGTTTTATTATGTACTAATGAAAATAATAGATAAATTATGTATTTATGATGATGTAACTAGTTGCAGCCTGGCATTTTAAATAAAAGGCATATTTGTTCAAATACATTTATTATACTATTTGCAGTTTTATTTTCTTCTTGCTTGCCGTCTTGAAGCCAGTCAACAGGCCCTAAAATTGTGATATGTTAATTGATTTGTTTATGATCTTTTCATATGAAGTTCCATTCAAAACTTGTTGTAATTTAGCTATTTAAGTTATTTCAACAGTTATGAAAATGGGAAAGGACTTGATAACAAATCTATTCTATTCTTTCTTGCAGTTGAGACAATTCCCTAGCTGTAAATAAGATATGAAAATGAAATAATATACATAAATACAATCTTTTTCATATTTTATTATCAAGTAATGCTAAAAACACAGATAGAAGTTGAAAAAAAAAATCTTATAATAATGAAAAATTATCGGCCCGACCCGACGTGACCTGAACCAAAAAAAGTCTGACCCGCAGACCCCTAGTTATGGAAATGATTAAATGAAGAAAGGAAAAATTTCCTTATGTTGTAAAAAGCCTAGGATGTCAAGAGAAAAAGAATATGTGCATGATGCATATGAAACTTTTTTTGTTTTATTGTGAGATTGCTGTAATATTGTTTACCATTTAGCGTAAAACCATTATGTGTTTGTTTTGCAAATTCTAGGGGTTTTTTTTTATTCCTAAGAGTTGATGTTACTTTTACATTAGTTGAGTGTAAACTCTAATACACCAATATAAGGAAAGTTAATTGTTTTCTGTTATACTTAATTTAGACTTCAACTTGTTCTTCATATACTTAGGGGGTTTGTTGAATTCTGGCAGAATTTTGGATCTTCCTACTTGGTTTCCAATCTTGGTAGTTGTTTTTCATCATTCTTCAACGTTTTATTTCTTTAATGTTTTTTTTTACTGATTTCTCCTGTATTTTTTATCTGGTAAATAAAAAATGCTAACGTGGAGGAACAAATTAAAATGCCGTTTGAAACAAGCAATCTTTCTATGCAGGTGGCAATGAGTCCGTGGGCTAACTACACTTTCCGAGTGTTGGCCATCAACAAGATCGGTCCGTCAGCTCCATCTGGTCACAGTAAGGTGTGTACGACGCAGCCTGACGTACCTTACAAGAACCCCGACAACGTAGAGGGCAAAGGCACCGACCCTAGTAACATGGTCATCAGTTGGACAGTAAGTAAACTGAAGTAGATGTCTTTACGAACCAGTTGTAGTATATTTTTATTATAAAATAACATAGTCGAATCAGCCACTCACATATTGTGCTAGTCTAAAGTTAAAGTTATTAAAGTTAGTTTGTGATGTAAAAGATGTTAATAGTTTGATATACACCAAACTTTTAATTTGTATAAAATGCTCTACACAAACTTAAACATTGCTACTTGCACAGCCGATGCCAGAGATTGAACACAACGCGCCGAGATTCCACTACCGAGTATTCTGGCGCAGAGACATTCCCGGGGAGCAGTGGACGTCTGAGGACATCACGGACTGGCGCAAGTCTGAACTGGTGATCAACAATCAGCCGACCTTCCAGCCGTACAAGATCAAGGTGATCGCCATCAACGAGAAGGGAGAGAGCAACGTTGCGGCTACGGAGGTGCTCGGCTACTCTGGCGAAGACGGTGAGAACAACACTATGTGCTCATTATATTCACAGTCTTTGAAGCTTATTTTCACAATATTGATTAATAACCTCCAATCTTCAGCTTTTGATGCTTGAGCTTCTGCTAAATACTTTATATAGTTAGTTTACAATACTTGCAATATAGCTTTTTGAAGAAAGAGCACCTTGCTTAGGAAGAAGGACACACTCCTACTAACTTACAGTTTTAATACAGAAAAAAAGTTGTAATAATAAAATTAAAATGTGTCTCTCAAGGAAATTAATTTGATATTTCTAGACAATCAATTTTATATTTTAGCTCTACAAGGGGGATAGCTCAAAGATGGTGGTAGAAAGGCATTTACAAAAGTGCCTAGTTTGTAGAAGGAAAAATATCAAATTATTGTTTCAACCTTCTTTTAAAGTGCTGTCAAACAACTGTAACAATTTTTTTGGCTCAGAATTTCTTGTAACTGTCCAGTTATGTGTAGACAGCTGTTTTCTCATATTACTCATTATTTAATGAACAATTGTGTGTTATTTTCTAATTATAAACTGTGCTATGATTGCAGTCCCGACGCAGGCACCCAGCAACTTTACCCTGGTGAAAGTGACGTCATCCACCAGCGCATTGCTCAGTTGGAACCGTGTGCCTATTGAGACTGTCCGTGGAGACTTCAAGGGCTACAAGGTAAAGTCACGTAGATTTTTAAAATAAAATATTGTGCACCTTACTTTATGAGTGACTAACAAAAACAATTTTTCAATAGGGTTTGTGGGTCGTCAAGATTGTAGGGTTTGGCCGAGCTAACAGTTGGCCCTACAGATCGGTTTGAACTGGAAATAATTTTCAGGCGAAGATTGAGTTGGGGCATGTACATTAAAGGAGTATGAGAGTTTTTTGTTTGGTTACAATTTTACCGCTGCTGTAGGAGTCCGGAGCTGAGAGAAATTTTCACGATTGTCGGGGCTTTCATAATTTCAGTTTGACCATAAACGACGCTTACGATTTCACTGCAGCTGCAGCAGATGTTCACAATGTTGCTCAATGCCATACAATATTATTAACAGATTGTAGTATAACGATAATATTTATAAACCAATACTTTCCGATTTTGGGGCCAACTTGATTTTGTCAATTTTAACCTAGTTTTGAAATATCTTGAATTTTCTGTTCATAATATAAGGGAAACACAATGATAGAAATATGGATATTTTATCTACCCAAGCCATACATGGAGTTTAAAGCGTTGTACGTTTGTTTAGGTCCAGACTTGGACGGATCGTGAGGGAGAGGCTAGCATGAGGGAGATCCATGTGAAGGGGGACGCAACAAGAGCCTTGGTCAACAGGTTTGTGCCTCACACCAAGAACTACGCCCGGGTGTTGGTCTACAACTCTCGCTACAACGGTCCTCCCAGCGAAACACTCAGCTTTGACACACCCGAAGGAGGTAAAACTTGTTTACTATTTGCTACAGTTTAATCAATGGTTAAAGTAGGGAATTAGCTATTTGATCTTATATTGTCTTTTTTCTTTTTTTTAACAGATATGTATAAAGTGGTACTGGTATGCTTAGCATAATTTTGAATGGTTCCAGTGCCAGGCACAGTGCAGTCATTGGAGGCGGTGCCGATGGGCTCGTCTGCGCTGTACCTGGTGTGGAAGAAGCCTGAGCAGGAGAATGGAGTGTTGACTGGCTACAAGGTGTACTACCAAACAGTCAAGGGTACAAGGGTGGGACCATTGATGGAGCGTGAGCCGCACATCACGGACCCTAACGCTACTAGGGCCAAGCTGGCCGGACTAGAGCCGGGCACCAAGTATAGGATACACATTAAGGCAACAACCAATGCTGGCGAGGGAGAGGAGTGAGTACAATATATAGCTTAATTCTATTGAACATTATATTATATTTCTACAAAAAACTTCAAAATTCAAAACCAAACTAAATTCAAATTATTTAATTTTCCCAGATGAAAATTAAACTCAGGAGGAGTCGATCTCTTTCAGTTTTGATTGCATACTTAACATATTATGATTATGTGTATTTTTTGTAACCTTGACCTTTGTAACCAGCTAAGTAAAAAAGTTTCACGTTTAGGTTTTGAGATTCGAGATTTGGGATTCAATTTTTTAAAGTTTCGGTTTCGGTTTTGAGATTTGAAATTTCTGGTTTTGACCATCACTACTAGGGACTGTAATTGTTTTAGTCCGCATTGGTAGTCTATTGGCCTGGCCATTGAAAGCAAAAGTCACCGCAAAGTCAAGCTATTTTACTAATGGTTCACAGAAGTAAAGGATTTTAATTTGAAAAGCATTAAATTAAATGTCTTTTTATATTGTTGGTGTCAAGTCCAAACAAAAATAAAATTGTAGGCCTACAGTGTATTTAGAGCAATTCATGTTCAAGGAATTTTCCCCAACATTTTATAAACTATAAATATTACAGATCATTATGAAAAAATGTCATTGTAAAGTCTAGGGTTATTTGGCAGAACTGATTCACACCCTGAGTGCAAAAAGCCCACATGCTGCGTCCGCCTTGATTCAATCAATCACCCTGAGTATGCCGGTGTGCAGAGTGTAAGGGTAATGTTATACATTGCAATTTTACAAACTAAGTTTGTTGGTTGCCAGCTACTTCATAGAGCAGCGGACGCGAGGTTCACAGTCAGCACCGCCAGACACACCTATGTTCCGACTAGAGCAGGAGGCCTATCAGAACAACAATGGCTACGGCCATGTAAAGGTTACCTGGATGCCTAACTTGGAGGGCAAACCTGGATCACACTTCTACGTCAAGTACAAGTGAGTTCAGTAACTTAGTTGAAATACTGTGGTTTGACAACTCACTGTACTGAGTCCAAGGTCATAACAGAATCAAACAAAACTTTAATCGTTCTACCTTTAAGATAGTTCTAGGTAGGATATATTTAAGGGTACGTTGTTTTCTTTTTCGGATTGCATAATTGCAGGTACTTACACAGGTTTTCCCAGTGCTGTTGTAAAATACTTACCTGAATTGAGAGGAGTCATGTCACTATTTATCAAACAGCACTAGCACATCAACTCTTTTAGCATTATGGCATAGCTCACAGTGACAATGTAGTTATTTGCTTAAGCGTTGCTGAGGGCGACACTGCATTTGAAGCAGCATGCTTGCCATGGACTTATTGGCTGGTTAAATACTGTTCTTTATTCTTTCAGTGACGTCAAGACTAAACAAAAACAGTGACGTTTGCGATTTTTGCTATTGTTTGTTTTGAAGAGAAATTTCATTTGAAGTATTTACTTCGATTGTGAATTGTTATTTTGCAGTTCGTTTGAATGATTATTTAGTGTTTGAAGCCAATAGGTTCAGTTTAGGTGACAATTTCTTACAATTAAAAAAAAATTATGGTGAGCCTTAATACAAATAACATTATTATTTATTACTAGTTTACATTATAAAATTACTTGAATAAAAAAAATATAAATATGACTTACTCAGGCTTAACAATATCTTTTCAGATCACCTAGAGTCTTTTTAGGTATGGCTTAGGAGCTACAGCACTCAAAGGGTTCAGAAAAAACCTTGCCAACCCATTTTCTAAAAGAATAAATTATAAATTCCAGGACCAAGGAAGACTCTCAGTGGACGATATCTGACAACGAGATGGACGAAGACTACCTGGTAATGCGGCCACTCTCCCCAGGTCAGACATACGAGTTCCAACTAGTGGCTGTGGACGGAGACTACACCAAGGAGAGTGACGTTCAGGAGCTGGAGATCGTCGAAACTGACGGTGAACTGCCTGCTAGTCAGTATTGTAGATATAGAGTGGCCGCATGAGGATGTCGTCAACGTGTTTCCTTCATCGTGCTTTGTAGTGTCCACCTGTCTACTTCAGACGATATTTTTTAGTCCTACCTTCACATCCTAGGACACCAGACTCTAGCCCAGAACTGTTTTACACATTACTTCAGTCTAATCCTAGGGGGTCCCAGCATTATTACATAGATAAAATCCATCGGTGATCCACGGGGTGTGAATCCGGGACCTTTGGGATCGAAACCCTGGGCTGTACCACTAGACCAGCTCGCTCCCCACTTCCTCAGAAGATGGGAGAGAGGGTGTTGGTGTATTTTCTTTATGCTCTTTCTCAAAACTAGCGATTTTCAACAAATGAAAACAAATGGGTTTTCTTTTCTCAATGCCTAAATTAGTGTCACTTTTCTTAGTGGTAAACTTCTAGATATTTTATTGATTCTCAAGCTTGCCAAAATTAGTAGGAAGCCGTTTTTCCTCACTTCTGTGCCTATTGATTGTAGTTAGAATTGTTAATATTCACATTGTACCTCCAAGCATGCGTTTTCTCTACCTTTGACAAACAGTGTTGCTTGAGAAAAACTAGAAAACTGCTCTTGTAAACCTTTTTTTGTTTGTTTATTTTATATTTTTAACTATCATTTAGATTTTGAAATTTTCTTGAATTTTCAATTGTGTGCAACCAAACTACCCCTTGTAGCTTCTATGTTGTGAGATTTACAAAATACTAGATAGGTTTTGTTCAGCTGATTCTTAATGACTGTGAAATCAATAAAAATAGTTAAAAAAAACAACAATTCGTTCAAAGTGTTACCTCAGACACAGTGTAGCTGAGTGGATATTGTGCGCTTACTGTGTAATCAGAGGGTTGCTAGTTCGATCCTGAGAAAGTCTAAAAGTGAATGGGTTAAAACTGGACTAAGCTATCCTTAATCTATAGGCTTTTAATAAATGTACCTGTCTAGTTCACCTGTTTTATTAAACTAGGTGATTCTTTTTATAACGAAGGTTTCATCCAGTTTATTCGACACTCATTCTTAAATATATACCCTGGTTTTTCAGCAGCATATCATAACTGTTTTAGTTGCTAATGTCCCATGTTTGCACAGCAGGCCCAGTGATCAAGCGCAGGGAAGACGTAGCCACTGCCGGATGGTTCATCGGCATGATGTTGGCCATTGCCTTCCTCCTATTGGTCCTCATATTGGTGTGCATAGTCAAGCGTAACCGGGGAGGCAAGTATGCGGTGCACGAACGTGAAGCTGCCCACGGACGTCATGACTACCCGGACGAAACCAGCTTCCCCGAGTACAGCCAACCGTGAGTATATACGTTTTTAATTTCTAGGGTAGTGTAATTAATTTACAGAGACATAATGGGGTGATGTCTAATGCTTGGGTTTTTTAGTCTTCAATGGTATTTAAATGTTATGTTTTTGATAGTACTGTAACATCTTCCCATTTGGACTCATTTGTCTCTTCTCTTTGTCATAAAAGTAAGGGACTTTGAAGAAACTGTAGACTACCTGAATAAATATATTGTGGGTACTTGTTTTCTTTTGCTTGAAAACTGCATAGTGATGTTTACAATTCCTGATACGAAATATAATTAAAAATTTGACAGGTTTTTCCTCTCATTTTTTACAAACTTCACACAAATAATATTGACATTCGATTTACTAGCAGGTCTAATACAGTACTTGGGAGTGAATAAAATACTGCTTTCTATTTTAAACCAGTTATATATAATTATTTGCACTTTCACAGCAGGTGTATTGTATAATCGTGGTATCTTAGAAGTAATGTGCATTTCTTGTTTTAATAATAACTAACTGTGAGCCCGTATGACACTCGGAAATTAAGTTAGTTAGCTCAAACTGTCTTTAATTCAGAACAGTTTGTTTTCATAACTATTCATAAAGGCAATGAGCGAAAATCTGCCAGGGATTTGTGAAAAAAAGTTGTACTTTCTAGGTTGGACTCCAAGTCACATGGGCGAGGCTCTATGAGTAGTGATCCCAAGGCTGCGCCGGAGAGTGACACAGATTCTATGGCCGAGTATGGGGAAGGTGACACAGGTATACAGATTTTATGAGGATCTGTTGTCTTGTTAATTAATACTTTAGTCAGTCTGTTAGTTCACTACCGCTATATGAGTTGTATGCAACAATACACAATTTAAGTTTTAGGTTATGTCTGGGTTCTATCCCAACCTAACATGAAATAACCTAAAAAGAATTTGTACAAATTATTATGTCATAATACCTGTTAGAATTTTAATATTTTAACAAAAAAAAACACAGTGGTAGTGAATTAACGGATAAGGCGAATGTTATCTTTTGAGCCTGTAGTTGTTATTTTTTCTTATGTTGATCTGTAAGTGTAATTCAAAGTGGCAAATAATATTTTAGTATTCAAAAATTGACAATAAGTCCAACAGGGTGTATCCTAGCCGGGAGACTTGTCCATCCCTAAGTTTTTATGACACTTGTTTATAGAATAAACATATTATAATTTGTATTATTCATCTATACATTTTATTGAACAATTTGGTTGATTCTAAACTTTCTTTAGATTATCCATGCTACTGGCATTATACACAATGCCTAGTTTAAGTGTGTAAAATCGTCTTTTTATTACAGTACTCAATTTCTTACTTTTCCTAGAAGCTTCAGGCGATGCATGTAATATCTGCATACTTTGCATACTGTTACTTTGCTGGTAACATCTACACACAAAGATTTATTCTGTGTATAGTCAATGGTAAAAGTCAATTGCAAAAGCCAAGAGTTGAATGCATCATTGATAAAAATTTGCACAACTTGTGTATTCCTCTTGAATATTTTACCATTTATTTGTATTGTTTTTAAAGTAATTTATTTCGCCCTACTTATAGTGTTGATAAGTATGTTGCATGTGCATTCTATGTTGAACAAGCACATTTTCATTTCAAATTTTCTCATAGGATTTTATTGTCTCATTTTTTTCCATTTGATTTCATTTTATGTTTTTGTTGTTTGTGTTGCCTTTACTTAGTTTGTTGTGTTTTATGCATGATGTAGAAGGAATGAACGAAGATGGTTCATTTATTGGGCTTTACGGCAAACAGAAAAAACAAGGAGAAACATCGTCTGGTGGATTCGCAACATTAGTATAAAAAGGTTTGCTCATTGTGTTTTCACTGTATCTTATAACAAAATTATAACCTAGCTAGAAGAATGTTTTTCTTGTATTTTACCAGTCTATTATGTTTTTAAAAGGTTTCCTGATTAACTTTGATAAAATATGTTTCATTATTACTCAAAAGTATCTGGTGTAACTTATTATAAAAAGTTATTCTCAATAAACCAATGGTAGGTACCTATCCATTTTTAGACATTTAAATTAATGACTCAAGAACATCAAATTGTGCCTTTTTTTGTGCCTACTCTTAGTTTATATCATGTTTCATCACTTTTCTTGTTTATTGTAAGCATGTGCATGTTCCATTTATTGAGTGTGACTTTTATTCTTTCTCCAAAAATTATTTTCAGCATGATAATTGTTTAGTCTAAATAACTAACTTAATCAACTACGGTTTAGTAGATTCCTTATTCTTTGTACTGATTGGGGGCCTAACCCTTGTATGAACTAGAACTAGTACACTCAATGTAATACCAAAGTGAATAGATACATTTCCAAAGCCCATATTGTGTGTTAACAAATTAACAAATTACAAACTGTAAAGAAATACAATAACATCTAGTCAAACATGCTTCGAATTGTTTGTTTACATGGCTATGGGCAAAGTGACACCTTTGATCATCAATAGAATCTGACATTCTATCCTTAGGTTTGGTGGTAGCTTAAGATATGCTATAGTTCAACATTTGTTCCTTTCAATTTATGGATTAGTAAAAAAAAATTGGCTCATTCGACAGAAATCCAACAACAGAAGTTGTTTACATCAGTGCTCTCAGTGGTTGAATTCAACAACAGTGGAACCTCGATAAATTATTTTTATAAATAAATATTTTCAAACACCTTTGTTTTTATATTACCCTTAATCACATGTTATTGCAAACCTCGATAAGAAGTAAACCTTAATAACAAGTCTTATTTATTAATCCCGATGAGAGACTTGTTATCAAGGTTCTACGGTGTGTTAATTTTTTAACTGGCTACATCTTTCAAGGAAATGGAATATCTAGTTCTATCGCTCAATCCATAGTCAAAGAGTTGATTTATTGGATTATTTTACATTAGTATTTGGACCTATATTATTTTATAGTTTGGATCATATGCATAAGTAAAAAAATGTTTAACATAAAAACTTGTTGTTTTGCAGGGCGGTTTACAGAAGACGGGTCTTTCATCGGCCAGTACGGGCCCGGCAATCCGAAGAAGAAAGAAGAGCCTCCGTCCACCACAATGTCTGCCATCGCAACTTACGTTTAGTCGTCCTAACATAACCTAACCACGGGGCTGTTGCTTGTGTCGTCTTATCCTCGGTTGTGACGAAACTGAGTCAAGTTGTGCGATGAAAGTATCACTGGTCAACTTTTGAAGTAACTTAATTCTAAATTTTTGACACTACTGATATTTGTTGTGCTTTTGACGATACGGAAACTAAAAATGTTGATTAGCCTTTGGACTACTGTTTAATACTTATGGTGTAAATACCTGCCTATAGTAATCCTCGGTTGCTGTACTAGTTCCATTCCTTAGGTTGAAACATCATCAGACCTACAAGGAGTATAAAATAATCACTTCATTTGAAGGTTGTCAATAAATTTCAATAAGAAAACAAACACTAGATATTTCTTGTAGACCTGATGATGGTTCAACCTAAGGACTGGAACTAGTTGCCACTACAGCAACAAAGGATTACTATGGAGGCATTTAAAAAATTTCAGTAACATTTTTGGGGATGAAAACGTACTGTTTGTTTAGCAGTTACTTGTCAGATTTTGAAAGATTAACTATGGACTTGTAAGGTTACAACGACTTGTAGTGTTTATTATCATTTACCAACTTGACTCCGCAAATATTTTGTTGTAGGTATTTAGTTTTAATAGGTTTTAAACTAGAGTTAATTATAATATATTCAATAAATTTGCAGCTATTATAATTTATTGTACAGTTAATATGTTTAAAAAAAGTATTATTGTTTGTGAAAAGTATTTAAACTATTGTCTACTTATTTGTTAGGTGGTTTTTGATATTTGTAAAACGTTGATGGAGATGAAATGCAACACAAGTGATAGCTCTACAATGTAGTCGTAGTGTAGGTTGTTCTTTGTTCTTTCAATATGCTCATACGAATCGGCACAAACCGGTCTTCGGTTGTATAAAACCGTTTTCAACTGCCTTTTTTACGACACATCTTCATTTAAGTGGCACAATGATAATCACATGCAATTGTAATTAGTGTTTGTTTATAGTTTTGTTAAAGCTGAAGGTGGGACATGAAAGTATGTGACGATTTGTTGAAATATACTTTTGAATTGTTCAATAGTGTTTTGTATTGTAGTGACAAGTGGTCATGTGTACAAGGTCATGGTAATGTTAATACAAGTATTCATACAAATTGTGTTAATTCGTACAACCCTTTCTAAAATTGAAGAAAAGTTGAATTAAAATTGTTGAATCTTTAGATTAGACGACACATCTTTCAATCTCCCATCTTCACTTGTGTTTTTAACTCATGACAGCGATGTATTTACGTCGGACATAACCCCTCATTTGTATCCATGTTTTGCTCTGTTTTGTGTAAACTACTGTGATGTTACGAGTGGCAGCTTTTGTCGGGTTGTAAAGTGTATTCAGTGTTTAGACGGACTTGGGAAACTCATTCGACCAATTACGAAAAGGACGATTTGGTGCTTTCATGAAATTTCAATAACCCCTCAATGTGAAATGCCGAAGAACAATTTTGTGTAACCTGCTTGCCCTCGCTCTGGCTGGTGTGTGCGTGTCTGCGAGTGAATGTGTTTAAGGATACGTGAATACTGCTATTCGCTTGTTTTGTATACTTTAGCAACAGTCTTGTTATATTTGTTTCCCTTCTCGTGTTATTCGGGCATGGTTGTACAATTTAATCGTTTTACAAGTCAAAAAAGTTAAAAAAACTTCAATCTTTACTGTGGGACCAATTTATTGGTAGTCCAAATTAGATTCTGGGGGATCAAGTTAGTTTGTGTTGCAAGGATCGATAAAGATATTTAATTTAAAAGACTGTAAAAAATAAGTTGATCTACTTAGTTTTGTTTGTCCAATAATTTTCTTAGTTTAGTTTAAAATGGTTTGGTTCCTGTAAATTAGTCCGTGTATCATTGTCGAGTGTTCAAAGTGTGTTCTTTTGTCTTTTTTTGTGATAGTTTGATAGTTTTAATCCAGGCAGGCCAGGCCCGTGCCGAGACTTAAGCTTTAAGCGGCTGTTTTGTTGTCACAAATTGTATGACCACGCCTCCCTCCCTGTCTGTTAATACCCCTGTTTGTCTATAGTATTACATCTTTATTTATTATTATTAGGGTTTATCGATATTTATATTTAAAGCTTTTTATATGACATTTAATGTATATTTCCATGTTGATCTTATAGCACAAGTGCCTTAGGTAAGGCATAGATGTACGTGTGTGGCTTTTTGTCGTAAAACTGCACAACTTCTGTTTCCTGCACAATTTGGTTTTGCATCGCGTTTTATAAATTTTAGCGACTACTTTCTAAGAAAGTGTAAATAGGATGAGGATGGTCTGCATCTGCTTTTTTACTTAACGCTCGTGTATCGTTTGTGTACATGACAGAGTATTTTTTCAATCGCGTCGTAGTAGACTCGGGGTGTGGCTGACTTATACATTCCACATCAGTGTTTAGTTTAGATTATTTGTATTTTATTTTTATCAGAAATCTATTTTTTACTGAATTTTTAGATTTTTCTTATGTAATGTTAGGCGATTTTTTATTTGGTTGATAAAAGTTATAGGTTTGTTTGTACATTTCATATGGTTTACCATAGCCAAAGTCAAAATAAATAATCACAAAGAGCTAAATTTGGCTATTTATTTCCTCCCTCTGGTTACATTTTAGTACTAATTGGAAAATAAAAACACTTTATTTTAGTACTAACTGGAAAGAAATGGCAACCAGTATGCCTGGTAAGACATATGGGACTACTACGGGATGTCCCTGGGATAAAGTGTGCTGTCTGGGAATGTTAGTTACGAAATCAAGTTCTATAAATTAGGATGACAATGTAATGTTTCAATATTAACACTTCCATTATAGCAACACATGGATGTTTTATTAGTTTCACAAATAAACTGTTTGGCATTGCAGTAAGCACACTCCTCTGTAAGAAGTCAAAAAAGCTGGCGCAAAAAGCAAGTGCAATTGACTCACTCGAGAAACCGTTCCTCACTCTCCTACGGCTCGTGAGTAAGTATTTCTCTCGAGTGAGTCAATTGCTCCCTTTGCTCACGAGTTGCACAAATAACCATTTCTAGTATTTGTGGTTTCGGTATTTCTGAACTTTCTTTTAAACGTTTAAAACATTCCTACGATCTTAATAAACAAGAAAATACCTTTAAAGCATTTTTTAGGTGCGGAAACAACTTCTAATTACAAAAACATACGGAACTATATTCTCAAAACGCGGAGCACATTTCTTGCCGAGCAAAAATAGCGGAGTGATACTACTTTCTCTAGGGCACCTATCTGTGTTGCCATCTGAACCTAAACACGTGTTGTATAGTGTTTGAAAGACTAATTATTTGTATGCTTTATAGTGACTGTAGGAAAAATATAATGTGTAACACGAATGCAAAAGGCCTTTGCAGCAAAGTGCCACTTTGCCCACTAGTTACACAAATAACTATAGTTTTATAGTACTTTAAATTCTGAACAGAATTGTACAAATCCCATTTCCGTATATTTACTCTCACCGCTTACACATGATAAAGGTTGTTGACAAACTTACGGGAGAAAGTATGTGTCAGATCAGAATGCTGAAACCTTTTTTTTATATTTTGTTAAAACTTCTGTGTGAATAGTGTAATATTGAACCAGAAATAAATGTTGTAAACAAAACGAGCAACCCATCTTCACAAGATCAAACCGATGGTCGTTCTTTAATCAGATGCCATAGGGCTAAACCAAGGTCACACTAAAAAACCTAAGACTAAACCATCCAACCCAGGATCTCCAAACCAGGAAACTTGACTATTTTTACCATTAATCATAGCTTGAAAAGAGGTAAATAAGTTAGTATTTATTTACTATCAAAAAAATGTATAATGTTTCAAAATAACATTAAATTCACAGGTTTTCACGTGCAATAAGTTAAATAAGTTTTCGATACAAGTCCGTGAAATAACGGATAACCCCAAATAAATAGTATGGTTAGGTTAGAATGAATTGGAAGTTGACAGCATCCCACCAACCACACGGCCAACCTAACAACACGAAACACCGAAAACAAACCAGCAAAAACAGTGGCACGCGTTTCTCTAATGTTTAACCACGGCCGCCTTAGATAAAACATACCCGAGAGTAGTGACTCCAGTAATAATTTATTTATCTCAATGGGGTGGACAAACACTCATCTCACGAGGGGCTCATCCTCAAGTTCTTTCGAGGAGTACAGCGGCCTTCGGCCTATTTATCAGTATATCTTTCAGTACTTTCTTATAAAGAGATAACGAGATCCATCTCCCGCACTCGAGTAGGCAGCGTATTATAGATTTTTATAGCTGAGCGTGGATATCTACTCAAGGTATGGCTGGGACGACAGCGTGGGTGAAACTATGATATTTTTATGGGTGAAATCACAAAAAACTTTTGAACTTTAGTTTTTATATCATTGGTGGTTGTACCACATTGACTACATAAGCTTATAAAACCAATGCCAAAATTACATTTATGTGCTAAAAAGAAACTAAAAAGCTTTCTCCTTACTCTATGGGTGTGCCGGCTGACCCATTTCTTTGTTGATTTGATATGTCATTTACCGTTTATGGTCTTCTGCTCTTGCTTTTGCTTTGCTTGCTTCTGCTAAGTGCTAAGTTTGAGTTAAGTCGGTGCTAATTCTATAAGTTTGCCGTTTGGTCGTGAGTCAATATAAAAATTAATTGAGTTACTTAGCCTACACGACCAGTTATACTTATTCGTTTTTAATGTAAGGTATGACAGTATCAGTATGAGCGATGAAAACTTGGTTGATAGTGAAGAGAACATATATCCGTCACTTGATACAATTCCGCTTGAGGTGAGCTTAGGCTAAAATAACTAGTCCGAGGAAAAATCAAAACCTTCTCTCAGCAAAAACATTACTTTTACTAATTAAATTGTTTGTTTATAATAGTCTTTAAAAGGTTGATAAATATCTTTTTCCTCATCAGGTAAAGGCTAATACCAGCTTTGAAACCTCTAAGTTAAGGCCAAAATCAATTTCTATAATAATTTTTAAATACTAGGGTAGACTAAACTGCCTAGGTATGGCATGGCATGGCCTAGTTGGGTACATTCATAGCCTCCCATATAATACAAGGCAGTAGCAAGACAAAAGTAGCAACACCGAGGTCCTCCCCTGGGAAAATTTGGTATTTTCAAAGCTGTTTGGTGACTTTCTAAAGCCATTTTTAACATCTAAAACAATGCTGAAGACGGTCTCCCCGCCACCTCACATTCAACTCACGGCCTGCTTGGTTCTCTATTGTTTAGTTGAAAGGCACAATCTTGGGTCTTAGCAGGGTTCGGCTTGAGGTGATTTGCGTCATAGTACTGGGAAAGTTCATTTAGAGTCATAGTCAGCTTCTGTTCCACCTCTTCAAAACTCCTACCTTGTGCCGCCACCGCCGTATCATCGGCATATATATATATACTGACGTGTAGCATTTGGCAACGGTTGGTCGTTGCCGTCTTCAGCATTGTCCTACACCCAAATATCTTGGTGTCATACTGGACCGCACTCTGACATTTAAGGCGCATTGCATTGCGACAAGAGGTAAAGTCTCAGCGAGGAATAATATTATCAGGAAACCCTAATGTCCTCAGAACCTCAGCTTTAGCGCTCAGTGTGTTGGCTGCAGAGTAGGCCTACGCTGCACCAGTATGGAATGCATCGTCACATGCAAAAAAGGTTGACATTGCAGTCAATGACATGGCTCGGATTGTAACTGGGTGTTTGAAACCAACCCCAGTACACAAACTCTATCCTATCATAGGGTTGCCCCTCCATCAATCCGACGTGATGTCGCTGCCGACGCAGAAAGGACTAAGCAAGAGACAGACCCTAAAGACTCGGTATAAGAAACTCAGCGCTAGAATGGTTCAAAAGCTACCTTATGGGACGTTCACAAGTCGTGGAACTGAAAAACTCATCAAATGAAGTCACAGCAAGTTTCAAATCTTCAAAAAGCAAGCTGACAAGAGGAGTTCCACAAGGCTCTGTATTAGACCCGATTCTATTCATCCTATTGACTAATGACTTCCCCAAACAAATTGAGAGTGAAAATGCTGTTGCAATCATATATGCAGATGACACAACCATTTTGATCAATGACAACACAGCCCAAAGCCTTTACCTTAATTCAAAATCAATCTTAAATAAAGCCATCCTCTACTCAAAGAACAATGACTTAGCAATAAACCCCACAAAAACTACAACTCTGAATTTCAGTAAGAAAAAAGACATAGTCCCTTAATTAGAGGATGTAACAATAGAAAACCACACTTAAAATTTCTCGGTATTATCCTTGATAACAAACTAACATGGAATGAGCACATCAACCACCTAAGCAAAAAAATCAGTGCCAGAATATATGTCGTCAGAAGAATAAACTACATAGGCTATCTGTGGCCAAAACAGCTTACTTCGCACTGGTAGAGTCGCATATTAATGATGAAAAAAGCATGTTTATGTGCTAATAATAAACATGATTTGATTTGGTTTGATTTCCAAGTTTGATTTTGAGAGGTGCTAAAATTGAGTAGGTCAAGTTATAAACAGGTTGTTTTTAGTACCGTATAGTTTAATGAGGTGTGATTTTGAAAATCTTAAGCTATCAAGTTCAAATTTTGTATTTTTCTTAGTCCTTTTGGGATGTGCCAGTAAGAAGTTAGTTACCGAGAATGTCGTTAAAACCTGAGATTGTTGGGTGAAATTTTTATTTAAATTGTATTGATTTCGATATAGAACAACCCCCAATATCCAATAAGTTCAAGTTGTGGTACCACAGACAGACTGTATTTTGTTCTATCTACGTGTGGAAAAAATCCATATTTAGCAGATTTAAATAATGTACAATGTACAACATAATAGGCCTTTTCACACACTTATGATTAAAATCTACATCAAACAATAGTCTATTCATTCTGTTTACAGGTTTTTCTTCACATATGCTCATTTTTGGATGGAAAAGAGTTGACAGGGTCTTTGAAATATGTTTGTAAAAGTTTTTATGAAATATTAACGGATGATTCTACTTGGCGAACTTGGCTGAAACACAGATGGCCTGATTTTCCTACAGGAAATTTGTGTTATAAAGGTAAGTTTTAGCATTTTCTTTAGCCTACTATTGTTTTACCCTCAATGCTTAACATAAGTTAAGTTAAAACTTTGTTGTTTTTATATTGCACTCTTTGTCTTGGAGGACAGATCACACCAACTGTATTTCAATTAGTAGATTAGGTACCTTGCAACTTAAACCTAGGTTCTAGATTAACATTAGCAGATCAATTAATACTTCTATCCATATATATTCTATCCATCTATACTATTACAAAATTGAGGTGGTGTCTGTCTGTCTGGGCAGCTGTCGCAACTAAAATACTAAACCGACACAGCCAAAATTAAGCACAAAGATGGTCCACATATCTAGGAATGGCATAGGACTATTCACTTTCCTGTATTCCTCTCGGGCTACGCCCCTTGGATGTCCAACGTTTTGAGGTAAGGTTTTCAAAAGTACATATTAAGAGTCCTTGGAGGCTAGCGGTCATCTTGGACGATTTCAAACAGCTGCTGAATTTATTGTCCAAAAATATTTTTTCAAACCCTAAAGTGACAATAATTTAAATATTTTGTAAGTTATACTGTGAGATTAGAAATGTTCTTTGTAGTTTTTTAATTGCTTTATGAGTTAGAACATCTAGTTTCCAAGGACTATTAATTGGTTTCCATGGAAGCATGAGAAAATTCACAATGTTCATCTTTGCTATGACATATAAATGTAAACAATCAGAACTGCCAAATGCTCATTTCACAATTTCAGACAGCTGATCCAAAGAAATGAAATATATTTTACACAACTATGTGGTAGAATTACTTAATCTAAAAATATATGATGAATTATTTATTCTAATCTATTTTAATCATGATGAAACTGATTTTTCTTCCCGTTAGGAAGCACAGGTAGAGCAGCTAGTACTATTATAAAATTCAGGTGCTATCTGTCTGTTCGGCTGCCACGACTAAAGTACTAAACCAATAAAGCCCAAATTAAGCACAAAGATTGTCCTACTTTTATTTTACAGACATACTAAGAGTGTGTTGTTTTACAGATGGTGACATTCCCAGCACTTCGTTGTGTCTTCACATTGACCGAGCTTTTACTTTATGGTCAAAGGAAGAAAGCAATTTCAGCAAATGGTCTAATGACACTGCACACATCTCTACTGTGGATGCTGTTAAGCTTATTCAGGTACAATCAATGTGTTAGACCTAAATCAATTGCTAATCTGTTAGAGAGAAATTATTTACTTGCTGCTTTCCGAATGCTTTATGGTGGAATTTGTCAAAAGTTGTAAACAATACAAAATGACATGAAACATTACGTTACAAAATTTAACAATATTCATTGACCAAAAACTTGTACACGAATATAACGTCGGTGAAAGGTAAGTAGCGACTTCATCAATACAGTAGGCTAACACATTTATTAATCTAATAGTAACACAGGATGAATACCTATTTGATAAAATAGTAAACTATTAACTTCTCTACCTCTATTACTTTATTGACAATGGTCACGTGTTAGATTGTCACATAAATTAAGACAGTTGAGAACCAAGCTAGTTCATGCTTATTTCTGGTGCTGTACTTATGAATTGAAGATCTGTCCAGGAAGTTGATTAACTATTTTGTCTTTTGAGTGAATTTCCCATATAGGGAATAAGCTATTACTGTAGGTCTCATGGTATGACCTGGACCTTGGACCGATTTACTTTCCGCCTACGATAAACCTACATTTATTCGAGTTTACGAACCAGCGTGATCCGACCATGGGAACGGGGTTTTATAGGGGGATTTATGGGGTAAAAGTTGGATAAAAGTTTTATCTTTTTTGGTCCCCTGAAAACATAAAATTTCCCAATTGCTCTCTAAACCAATTTAAAGAGCTTAAAGAACAAATAATTTAGTTTATTCAAGTGTTTTTGTACGGTTATTGGTTACAGAGAACATGAAAAAAAATAAACTAAATTTAAAATTCCCTTGTATTCCTTTAAGGAGAATAAGTAAACTGTTGTACAGTAGTTTGTTAGTTTATTGATATATTTCATAAAACCTGGCAAATGTATTTATTTTATAAAGGTATTAATATTTTACTGAAAAATACACTTTATTACCCTCTCTGTTGCAGCAAACATAGGTACTGGTACTCGTTAAACCTAATGTTTTTGAAATAGATTTTATTGAAAATCAAATCAGGCCAATGGAAATTCGGTTAGTCTGTAAGTTTGCTTCTGCGGGGGTATTTTTAAATTTAATTTTGTTTTATGGTGATGATGAATTTATTTTATAAGAGTTTATTGCTGAAATTTTTTACCCTGACTAGTAACAAAATCAAAGTGTACCGTTGTAGTTTTGCCACCATCATAAGCAGGCGTTTCTATCGTGTTTTCTATTATTTTTTTCTATTTTTGTTTATCATTTTAGTTATCCTTTTCATTTAAACACTTTTTATGTATTGTTTTTCTTTGCTTGATAAGTACTATACGGTCCTCTGTGTGTTAAAATTTTGATTCTCTATAGCTAGGTTCGTCTACTGTGTTATTATTTATTATATGAGGAAGTTTCTCACCTCAGATCAGATTACAGATACAGAACCGTCATGCAAAACGTTTTTTTCTGGCGTATTGGTAAACCTCCGGGAGCAATGCCATTACACAACTATTGTGTTTGCGCAGGGAGGTCGCGTGGGAATATCAGGGTCAAGGGACCGCAGTCTGTCAGTGTGGAACACAACGGACAAGTTGACGTTGGTGCAGAACGTAACCGGACACACCGGCTGGATATGGAATCTGGCATACTGCACTGAAATGCACCAGCTGTTCTCATGTTCTTGGGACACCTTGGTGAAACAGTGGTCTCTCGCTGAGGGGCTGACCGAGTTGGCTTCATATAAGTGAGTATGTATTTTGTGCTTAGTTTCCAATTCATTTTGTGTGGATTGTTTGGTTAGGTTCCATTTTTTTCCGTTATTCCTCTTTTACAAGTTTGGAACTTTTCCGTTGGTTAACTGTCTACTACTATTTTTTTCATTAAAATTTTGTAATTACTTGTAAAAACCTGCACAGTGTTAGGATAGGTTGGAACTGAGACATAACCTCAACTGTGCATTGTTATATACAAATTAAAATGAATAGTTGTAAATTAACGGAAAATATCCAAATACCCCCGCTGCAGCAAACCTGCAGACTAAGAGAATTTTCACTTGTCTGATTACATTTTTACTAAAATATTTCCATAAATAAGACATATTTCTTGATACTCTTGACACCTTGATACCCTTGAAACCCTTGATACATTTGATATCCTTGATACAATTGCTTATCTTTTCAATAAAACGAGTAACATGTTGTTGTTGTCCAGATGTAAGACAGCTGTGTTGGCGGCAGCTGTGCGGCCGGGTTTGCTGGCCGCAGGTCTGTTTTCTCCTGAGGTAGACATCTTCGACCCCCGTTATGGCGGTGAGCGGGTCACTGGCTATAGGGCGCACAGTCGCAGTATTATGGCTCTTGCGATCGTCCGAGACTACATCGTGAGCGCCAGCGAGGATCAGACTCTTTCAGTGTATGACCTCACGGCTGGCAAAGTGTTTAAGGCCGGCATCCATGTAGGTACTTTTTTATTTGCTTCTACGTCAATATGATTTTTTTGTTTTTAGTGGAGTAAGGAATTTACTGGTTTGATTCTTAAGTTTTTGTACCACCTGTATGTTTTTGTGCTCCCTGTCAAGTACACCGACCAGAGCCTGTAAAATGTATAAGTGTTTGTTAAAAAATTTATTTTCCAAATTTGTTTATCATTGGATTAGGTATTCATTTAGAAGTTTATGGTTGTTAAATGATTTTAACAACTTATTTGGAACTTACAGGTCTTGAAAGTGATGATTTTCTTCAAATGTTAATACAATCCTATTGGCCTTACAACATTTATGAATTTTATGCTTTAAAAGAATTATCGTAATTTCTTTCCGAAATTTCCAAAACAAAACTGTAATAAGCTTGTCACTTTGAAAGTTAGTTTTTTTAGCAAATTTCCCATATAGGGAATAAGCCAAGACCTAGACCCGAAACCGATTTACTTTTTCATTTTGAGGTCCCTAGAGGCCTAAAACATCATCCGTTCTAATTCATATATATATATATATATATATATATATATATATATATATATATATATGTCCGTTAGCACGATAACTTAAGTAAAAATAATCCAATTTTGATTAAATTTGGTACAAACATACAAACCTGTAAACCTACATTTATTTTAATGAGTTCGTGAACCAGCACGATCGGACTATGGGAACTGGGGTTTATAGGGTAAAATTTGGTTTTTCTCATTTTTGACCCTAAAAACATAACGTTTTGCTATTTATTTTATTTTCAAACCATTTTGTAGAGCTCAAAAAACTAATATTTTAGTAGCCTATATTGAAGCGTTGATATGCGCCTAATAGTTGGCCTACGGAGAAAATTCCAAAAAATTGTAAATTTAAAATTTCAATTTTATTCTTATGGAAAACAAGTAGACTAAAACAGTTTGTTTTTTTATGGATATATTTTTGTCGAATTTTGCAAATTTGTTTATTTCATATCAAGCTATCAATATTTCAATACAAAAACCTACCTTATTATACCTTATTACCTACCCTGTAGCAGCAAACATAAGTATTCATTCAAATTAATGTTATTTATATAGGAAACAAATGTAACAATTTTAAGGAAATATTTCAGTCAGTGGAAATTCGCTTAGTCTGCAGGTTTGCTGCGGATGGGGTATTTACTTTTTGATTAGTTTTGTTTTAAGTAGCTACACTGGTCCTTGACAGTACAGTGAGTTCTTTTAACTTAAAAATAATTACTGTAATATTAATTATGCACACAAAATTATAATGTTCATTCGCTTTAGTGCATACTATAGCACCTTAGTGCATTTTTTAAGTTGACAGTCCACACCCTAGTTTTTGTAACATGGTGCGTGTAACATTAACCAGTTGTTAGAAAGCATTACTCATCTAAACGGCCTTTACTTAAAAAATACTTAACTGGAAAAAGCTCGAAGGTCGTGAGTTTTTTGCTAAACTTGATTTGACTCATAAATTTACTAGCCCACCTCTACTTCAGAGAAAACATAACTGTTGTATAGGCCTACTTACTTCTATTTTAGACCTGAAGATTTTTAGGCCTAACTCTTTTAATGGCCATTGAGTGAATCAAATTGATAACTAAAAATTTGTACTTTTCATAGTACAAAAATATAAAACATCTAATTGGGGATGGTAAAAGGAGGACCTCTTTAACAAATAATAATAAAATCACTACTGATTAGATATGGAATATTTATAATTCACCATCTCATGAAACTTTAACAAAGCCGTCCAGGTGGGCATCTTTCAACTGATAGGCTGACAACTAGTTTTGCTATTATAACTGAAAAATTAGATGAATTAAAACTTAAATATTGTTTCCGTCTATAGGGAATGGAGATGGTGGATGGGATGGTAGGTGGGCATCTTTCAACTGATAGGCTGACAACTAGTTTTGCTATTATAACTGAAAAATTAGATGAATTAAAACTTAAATATTGTTTCCGTCTATAGGGAATGGAGATTATTCTTTAGACCCCAACAACTAAACAAAGAAAAAAGTATCTGTTTTGAAGCAAAAACAAGTGCAATTAGTGTAAGGTTTATCAATATTTTGACTTTCTTGTTGTTATCAAAGAATGTTTTTTTGATCAAGCTTAGCATAAAGTGGTATTTTATTATTACAATAGTAATAAAATAAAGCTCAATATTTTGTTGCAGATTACAAAAGAAGGACATCCCTTGAATTTGTCTTACAGTGGAGGCAACTTATTGTTCATTGGCGACACAATGGGAAGGCTTCACATCCTCGATATGAACCACGAACCATTTAATGTTGTTAACGTGAGTAGTGTAAAATTACCATGTCGTTTCACTGTGCTATGTACAAAATAGTATTCACCCCGGGAAACTTGCATAGTTAGATTAATTTTTTCTTGCAAACTTTAATGTCAATTAAAGGACTGTGTAACATTTCAGAGCTTTGACTTGGGACACCAGTCACCCACTGGGGTGTATACCCATAAGAGTATCACAGCCATGTGGCACGACCCAGGGTTTATACTGACTGGATCCAAGGACGCGTCAGTGCGTGTTCACACGACAACTAATCCTCCCAGGCTCATCACACGGCTGTCATCGACTCACGGCGAGATCACGGCGGTGAGTTGATCTAATATTTCCAAATACATTCTTTGGATTCTGGGAGGAGCGTCCGACAACGGTTTCTTAAAGATAGCCTCTAAAGGCTTATGATCTGATTAAATTATCAACTCCTTGCATCCCCATACATTCTCATGAAACCTTTTGTAAGCAGTCAGTATTGCGAATGTCAAAGTTGAGTGTAGTTCTGTTGGGATTTAGTCAATGCTTTGGAATTATAAGCTACGGGCTGCCCAGATTGTAACATAACAGCACCTACTGCATAACTGCTTGAATCCACAGATAGAATCACAGAAGAGTTGGGGTCATAGTAACGAAGCACGGGAGTTCTTTGCAGTTTTTGCTTTAACTTGTGAAATTCCTCTCGTTGTGGTGTATCCCAGAACCAGGCCACATTTTTCTCAGTGAGAACTCTTAGAGGTTGAGTATCAACCGAATCATCTGGTATAAATTTTGATAAGTATGTTATACAACCCAAAAATCTCTGAAGCTCAGACAAACTTGTGGGTTCCTTCATTCTTGAAATGGCTGCTACTTTGTCAGGATCAGCTGTAATCCTTGGTCTGAAATATACACTTTACTTTGTTAAGTGTAAGTACTGATTCACTCAGCTTTGTCATTACTTCATTTGTGATCTTTTGCAAGTCTTGTTCATTGTTACTGTGTACTGTGTTGTTGTGTGCATTTAACACTCTACATTCTTAATTCCTTTGAGCAAGTCTGACATAATATACTGGAACACTTCAGGGGCCGACACCAAACCAATAAGCACGCGTAAACAAGTGTAACGCCCCCAAGGTGTTGAAAAAGTTAGTAGTTTGGAGGTTCTCTTTGTAACTTTTATCTGCCAGAACCCTTTTTTACAGTCTAGGATGGTGAATAAACTAGAACCATTCAATCTAGCTGAGATGTCCTCTAATGTAGCCAATGGGTAATGTCTACGCTTTACATTTTTGTTAAGATCAGTTGGGTCAATGCAAAGACGGATTTTGTCTCTTTGTTGGACTATGACCATAGGAGACACACAAGGAGTAGGCTCACTTACCGGAGTAATAATCTTGTCTTTTATCATTTGGCCAAATTCTGCTTTCACTGTGTCACGTATTGGATGAGGCATTCGCCTGGGTGGGTGTATTTTGAAACTATTAGATCAATGTCATACTCAAATGAAATTAAACACCCTATTCCATCATATAAGCCACTTATAGACTGATCAATTATACCAGCAATCCGTTTGACGAACCCTAGTGTTTCACATTGATACTCTTACTATATTGATTGATGCTCATTTGGAACTATTACAAACAAGACAGTGTCTTTATGAGCCATTTTGGTTACAACTGGACAAATGGCTTCACCCAAAACTGGCGTTTTATTGGTGTTAAAAGAAACAAGGCATTTAATTCCAGAAGGTACAATGTTAAGATTACAAGCTAGCGCCAAATCTTGGGAAATAACATTGCGGAAATAACTGAGCCCGGATGCATTGCCACGGTGTCCAAAATATAATTTTTGAGCTGTTGCACGACGTCCAATATAAAATATTTGACTGTTGCACGATGTCCATGTGCCACGACGTAAAAAAGTACAGTAACTGCAAAAAATATAGTATTTTTACAAGCATTAGACGTCATGGGATTGGTCGTCATGTAACAGCACACTTTATATTCTTTGAAAAAGTAGCAGCTGCACGACGTCCAAAGCTCCTGCTATGTCTGTTGCACAACGTCCAATAGCTCAGCGCTGTTGCACGACGTCCAAAGCGCATGCACACTGTGAGTACTGTTTTACCGTCTTTATTGGATACTAAACTAACCTAATCTAACCACACTCCGTATGCAGGAGCTTTGGGCGTCATGCAACAGCGCTGAGATATTGGACGTCGTGCAACTGGCTTAACAGAGCTTCGGACGTGGTGCTAATGCTAAGTTTTTTCAAAAGTATAAATTGCGCTGTTGCACGACGTCCAAAGCTTGTAGAAAGACTATATTTTTTGAAGTTACAGTACTTTTGGACGTCGTGGCACTTGGACATAGTGCAACAGTCAAATATTTTGAATCGGATGTCGTGCAAAAACTCAAAAATTGTGTTTTGGACGTCGTGGCACTGAATAATATCATTGGATGTCGTGGCACTTGGACGTCATGCAACACTCCCCTGAGCCCCAGTATCTAATTGAAACTGCACAGTTTTGTTATTTTACAATTTTAAGGGTTCTGTCTAATCTTGATTCTTGACTGGGTTAGAGATGCAATCAACATGCAACAGATAATCAGAATCTTCATTCTCTACAACCTCTAAACATCAGTATTTTTACTCTTACTAGGGAGATTCTTTTGAGTTTTACACATCTTAGGAAAATGACCATTGCAGTCAAGCATTGATTGCAAGTTCGATTAAAAGCTGGACATTGGCCTCTAGAGTGTTGTAAACCACAACGTTTACAGTCAAAGACTGAATTTTGTAACGTAGGCCTAGAAAAGAAATCATCCCTTTTAACGACATTAACATTTTTAGGGCTGCCAGAGGATATTTCTGCTAGTTGTGTCTTAGCTTGTTCATGTGCCCTACACTTACTAATTGCATCATCTAGGGTATGGTTATCAGTAGAAAGTAACGTTTCCCTTAAGCTAGAATCTGATGTGCCATTACTATTCTATCTCTAATCAAACTGTTTTTAAGTTGCTCAAAATTACAAGAATTAGCTTGGTTAACAAATTTTCAAAAAAACCTTCAAAACTTTGGGTTTTATGGGTGATTTTGTTGAACAAAAATCGCTCAAATACTTCATTAGATTACCAACAAAAGACTTATCAAATCGTTGAACAACTTCATCTAATTCAGTGTCTTCTTCATCCATGAAACCAAAACTGTTATATCTAACTATAACATCTGGGCCTAAACTAGACATAAATGATGCTACCTGTACTGCATTTGATTTCGTATCAAGGCCAGAAGCTGTGTAGTACCAGTTCCACTGTTGCTTCCATTTCTTAAGAAGGAGCCATCTGAGTACTTGAAACCACAAGACATTTTGGTGGTTTTACATTACTATCCTTGTCTGTATGGTATGTATTGATATCATCATCTTCCTTAAAATAATACCTTTTATTTCTATTCCGTGTGGGTTTCGGCACCATGTAATTAGATTAATTATTAAATAATTGTACTGAATTCATGAAAGGTTTTGTATTTATATTTACTTTTACTAATAAATGTTTTGCTATTCCTTGAAGTAGTTACATCGATAAATATCAAATAACGTTAGGTTGGGTTCGGTTAGGATAAGTTAGCCCTTGAGGTATTCAAGCTGAATACCAAGATGGAAATTAAAAGTATCTATTCTTCAATCCCAAAGTCTCCTATGTGTTCATCTCATTAATTATGACTTGGTCAACCCATCTCAAAAAGTCATTTTTGGGCAGGGGCGGCTCCAGGAATAATTTTTTGGGTAAGATCAAGAAAGAGTTTGATTGTGGTATTAGAGGTTTGAATGCTTTCCCTTTATTTACGTATCAATTTATTTATTTATTTATAATTTTGAAATATCTACCAACACCTTGGGTAGGCCCGGGCTCTCTGGAGCCGCCCCCTGTTTTGGGCAAACATTAAAGTCGTCCAAGCAATACATCCACAACACAACTAACTTAATGATTTATATTTTACAGATGGATTTTGCTGATCCTGTTCTCTTGGTGGGTTGCGCTAACAACGCGGTTGAAATGTGGAAGCCTTAGACTCAAGACTTGGTCCAGCACTGACAGGGTGGATGATGCACTTGCATAGCTTTAAACTAATAAGTCAATACTTTTGGTTAACTATTTATTAAATGTTAGTAATTTCACACTGTCTATTTATATTTTTATAATAAAATAACATGTTTATAGTTCCTGTGTTTTTTATTTCATTGCTGTAATTTTCCTCACTAATGAAACCCTAATAAAAAAATGAAATTGAGAGTACCAAGGTAAGAAGGGTTTGAAGGGTACTTTACTCCATACCATCACTCCTAGTACAAAATTAGCCAACTTTTGTCTTAGAGTAAAATACTAGGGGAATACCTTTGAAGGAATTATACTATTATATATTTCTTGAACTTTTCTAGTTGAGTCTCAATGAAGACTCTTCCTTTTGTCTTTCTAGGGTTAAAACGAAATTCTTGTTCGAGGTTATGTTGCAAAACATTTAATACAAAGTTCATCCTCCAATTATCAAGAAGATTTTAACTTTTCCAAACAAAAAGATAACATAATTTAAACAAGTAGGGAAAAGAGAAACTATATTGTAAATTTGTATTTTTTTATCGGCACAAAATAAGACATACATAAAATATAACATTGTTCAGTAAAATAAGACATCCTTTGCATTTTCCTTCAAACAATGTTAAGTTTATTGTATTAATAAGTTTTGAACAGTATCTACATAAAGATTAGATCAACAATAAATATATTAAGTACTATTGAAAATAAGCTGCATCAAATATTTTATAAGCTGTTAAATTGTGTCAGAAACACAATTACTTGAAAAAACAACTGGGACGGCAAGAAACTTGAAAAAATACAAACTTAAAGAAAATATAATCAGTATGTTAAAGCCTCACGTTAACACTAATGACTATGTATAAAATATGATACAAAGTATAAACTCTTCAGTATACAGAAATCATATTGAAAATATTTATATCAGCTTCAAATGGAAAATTTGTATAATACTAAAATAAAACACCTGCTAACTAGAAAATACAAACACTTACATAATTTAATGTTACAATTGAAGGATTATTAGTATAAATAAAACTAATTCATACTCTTTAGTGCTAAACCAAATGGGCAAATTAGTAAACTCAAATACTACATCTATACACTATGTAACAAAGATTATAAAATTTTACATCACTATGCCGAAATATTTTTAAATAAAATGAAAACAACAATAACTAATAACCAAAACTAATTTACATTGTAGTAACAAAAATAAAAAGAACATTGGTCCATGCTTCAATAGATCGTATAACTCAAAAGTATTTGAAAACATGAAGCATTACATGCCAAATTTTATCACAGTGTCGCTTTAACATTTCATATAATGTTGTTTTCCATGAAATGAGAAATATTAATTTGTAAAGTGTACATTTGCAAAGTACAGTGTTTTATCGATACGTCTATAAAAGCAAAAACAGCCTTACTCTAATGAAGTAAGGTTTCATGTACACAAAATGCAACGGGAACAACAATCATCACATTGAATAAATAATAGTCTTTGAATTGCTGTAAATTGCACAAAAATATAATTCTTACATAGTTGCATTTGATATAACTTACAGGAATGTATGAATGCTGGAATGGTAAAATGAGCAAATCTGATAATACATTAGACATTTCTAAAATTGTTAAATAACAAAATAGAGAATTATTCAACCAGTTTCATTATTTGGATATTTTAATGACCAGCTTATATAAAAAATAGGAGAACGCGGTACTGTTACTGTGTAGTCATAGGCAATGGTAAAAGATAAAAATCAGAAATAGTAGAATTTGACTTTCAAATTAGGCACTTGCAACAATCTATTAACATTTTCCAAAACTAAATAAATATTTTTTAACTGAATCTATTTACTATACACATTTAATTTATATACAAAAGTTACAGGTTGCACTGCTTTGCGAAGTATCCAAAGTTCCTACCTTGCCGTCAGGCCAGTATGTACAATATATACACTGCAACAGGCTCCACAAAAACAGCTGATTGCAAACGTTCCACTTGTCAGTCCAGAGTCTTTCAAAAAGGACTTGACAACTTTGACACATTGCCATTGGAAAATCATTGAAATAATTAACAGCATTTCTTACAAAGCTGATTATAATAGACTTACACTCATATGCTAATACTCCTTAGATCTAAGATCTATAATCTATATTTTGGGACCTCTATATCTTTTACTAAGGAACCATCACGTCTCAATTCATAATTCAATTTTGGTGTGAAATATATATTTTTTAGATATATTTGCACTGCATTATGAAAAACAAAATTACTTTTGTTTCAAATTAAGGTTTTTTAAAAATTCATGACTTTTTTTGTACATTTCACGTAAGTTAAATGGGGTGAGAAAGATCCCTCAAAGTTGTTAAGCACTTCTTGATCCTGTATTATGTTTTGGCTGATGGAGCCTTAGGAATGCTAGCACCAAAGACAGTCTTGTTAGTTGATAGTCTTATGTCTCACGTTCAGAACGACTTTGCCGTCAGCCAGTCGCTTCATCAAGCCCCAAGCCTCGATGCGGGACATGGAAGTGACGTCGGTTCCGTTCACACTCAGCAACTCATCTCCCGCAAACAGCTGACCGCTTTTTTCCGCACAGCCACCTGTTGTACAGAGTTAAAAGCTATCAATTACATTCAAGGGATCGCTGAAGTATTTTTTTGAAGTGTTCAAAGTACTGTAACTCATTTACTGTGAGAAGAATAATTATAACTTGTTCATTTAAATATATTTGTAAAAATCCAAACACACAAATTGAAGTTTGATTAGTATGGAGGTTTTCTGTGATGGGGGATTTTATTTTTCCGTCAATCAATTCAAATTTTAATTAAAGAAATTATAAAGAAACATTTTCTCAATGATAACTATTTCACTCCTATAATTCATAGATATGTGGAGATTCGACCCCATATCTCAATGAAATCCAAGACACTAAACACTAGCTAGTAGTAGCTAGCTATCTATAAAAATGATGTTGGTATTTTGATTGAAGAAATTACTAACAAACGCTTCTCAGATAAAGCTGTCCGAACCCTTCAAATTTATGTGGATAAAGAGATCGAAACAATCCCTCACTGAAATTCAAGACTCGCCACTAAGCCATCGAGACCAAGTACAGCAAAGTGATGCTGGTACGTAAGGGTTAGGGTATGTATGGTCGTAAGATATAAAACTGTTTACTGATGGGCCCGCACCCTGTCTTCACTTACCGGTGAATATCTTCTTGATGGTGAGGGGTTGGTCTCCCAGGGGCGAGTCTTTACCTCCCTCCAAACTGAAGCCTAGTCCCGCTCCGTCCTTGACCAAGGTCACGGTCAGCGGAGGTCCTCTGGCTACTTCTTCTACACTCTCATCTAGACATATCCACAACAAACACATTAGACGATAGAAGTTTTAATGGACAACAGTGAGAAACTATTGTAGTAAAAGTAATCCATGTTCATAAGACTCATTTAGTCTAATCATTTAAACTCTTTACTATGACAGACATGGATAAAAGATGCCTGTAGAATCATTTCCTTATGGATTGCATTGGGTACTGAAGTACATATACCATCTAGATAGATCAGAGCTGTAAAGTGGCGGATCCAGCTTTATATTGAAGGGGGGCCAGATTAGAGGTGAAGACCCCCCTCCAATCCCTACTCTCATTATTTACCTTTCGATTTCATAGCCTCAGTGAGCGTGAACATAGTTATGTTCACTAACCTCTACTAACTACTAACCTCTGCTTGACATTCCCTAAATAGATGACAAGGAATTTAGTGTGACAAATGATTTTACGAAATGTAGAATGTAGGGGGGGATTTTACCTTTTTTCAAGTTAGGCCACTCACAAAATGCTGTACAGTAAAAAAATCTATTTTCTGCCTAGTTTTGGTACTGAGATGATTGATGTGACATCAAAGATGTTATAGCTTACAATAAATTGTCCTTTAAGTTTGACTTATATTAGATATGAAGTTGCAGTCATTGACAGAAATCAGAAATTTACATCAGCACACTCAATCAAACTCCGTCCATTTTGATAAATAAAACTGACAAAAACTTAATAATGGGCATGGAATGTCTAGTTCTATCAATATCAAAGGTAAAAGTGAATTACATGATCTGCTTACCTTTGTCGCTGACCGAGGGTGATGCAGGGTCGTCGGGGTGTTGCTCAGGGATGCGGGGTGGTCGGAGATTGTTGCGCAGTCCGAGGACAAGAGGATCGTCTGTGGGTCCGTCTGGTCGCCAACGAGACACGACCAACACAACCTCTGGTCTAGGGGCCTGTAATCATAGAATCAACTTAGAAAAAAAAAAAAAAAAAAAACATTGCTATAGTAAGAGAGCTTTTAGACACTCTTAAACATACAAATGGTTTGGGAAGCTGAGTGGTTGAAGTGCTCGCCTTCATGTCTGAAGGTCGCTGGTTCAATACTGAGCAGGATCCAGATGCCATTTTCCATCTGCTATCAATTAATGATGCTATCTACCTAAAAGGTTAGACAGTAAGAATGGTTTTGACAATTTTTGTAAAAACAGATTTAAACATGCTAATCGTGTGAATAAACACTTTTATGATTTTCAAAATCAAAACCACTACAGAAAATAAAATTTATCAAGTTCAATCAACTTTTTTGGTAAAACTGAATAGTGTCTTGTGATAATTTATTTGAAGTTGTTTGTTGCTAAGAATTCATCGCATCCCAAATTATAAAAGCACCAACTTAAAAGTAACCGAAAACGTAAGAAACAAATTTAAGACTGTTAAAATGTTACTAAGACATAAAGAGAGAAAATAAAAAAAAATCCCTAATTAGTAACTGGGCAATACATTTACTACAACCAATTATTTCTTTACAGCATTGTTACTACCATTATGAGCAATACAGGACAGCAGGGTACATGTTACTAAAATTACAATGGAAATTTAATAGCGTTTTAAAATAGAGAGGATTTTTATCTGAAGATTACTTTCTAATAGGACGACCTAAGTTTGATTGATTGGGTAATCTGTTGTAGTAAGTAAAAAATTGACAGGATTTATAGTGTATTTCTAATAACAAACTATTGATTGCAAGATTTTTAGATGACAGGATCAAGTTTACAATGGTATCAGTAATGCAAGCCCAGACTAATACTGCAAATTGCACAAATTGCTAAATCTGCAGCCACAAGCTGTGCCCTAGGAATGTAAATTGAGAGGCTTCCACACGTGGGGTTACAGAAACAGCTGATCTACTTAGGACAAGGTCATGAACAGGCATTCTACCACAAGCTAGGTAAATGGGAATACTTCAAGTTTTATATAAAATATCAGAGATTAATTGATTGAAAGGTTCATCACATTGAGAATACAAATGTTAATAGTTAGTTTTAAGCATTTAAGGGAGGCATTTAATTAACGTTTTACTAAAACTTTAGTTTAAAGCCCAAATTTAGGAAATCTTTGTCATTATTATACAGAGTGGAACAAAGTTATACACGTACATATAATATATATATATATAAAATACATACAAATTTGAACAAATGGTGTTTTTGGTCTCGGACATCAAAATGAAAAAGTAAATTAGTCCCGAGCCTAGGTCTTACCGTGCCACCTACGGTAATAGCTACTTCCCTATAGGGAAATTTGCTAAAATAATCTGCACCCTGATGGTAAACCTTGTAACTTTATACCACTATTGAACATCATAGAACCAACTTGTTTAACTGAAACAGCTGTTCATTAATTCCTTTTAAATATGAATTACTCATCGGGCTAACGAGGGAAACTCTACAGCCACTGGGGCAGAGCCCGAAAGTCGGATCAGAATAAAAACTACTTAGTTTTCCTATTTAACTCATAAAGAATCAGTGTACCGAATTTCAGCCTCCTAGGGAAATGGAAAGTAGAAGAATAAGTGATGAGTGAGTCAGTCAGTGAGGGCTTTGCATTTCATATGTATAGATATCATATTTTTACTCAATGTAAATAGGCTAAACAGCTGTTTGGTTAAATGTTTTTTCATCGTGCAAGTTGAAAACAGCTGACTAAACAAGTTAAGCAATGCAATGATAAGTTGTTATCAACAATCACTGCATCCATCAAGAGCTAATAACAGAAATTATCACATACTGTACTATCTTTGAGTTTAAATGATAAGTTAAGAATTGGGGGTCATAACCATTACAACCTCATGGATTATAATATCTGATGTAGTAAAATTTGGCCAAGATAGACTTGCTGTGGAATCCCATCTACAAATATGTCAGGTTATAGGCCTAATACCAGCATAGTGGTGGCTGTAAAGATTGTCGCATTCAAAATTAGTTTATTGTGGTAGTAAATTATTATTTTAAATATTCTATAAACAATTAAAAAGCATCTACAGATAGAATCCTCCAGTTTGAAGGGACGAGGCAGATAATACTGCATTTCAATTGTAAAAAGTTTATTCACATTTTTTTTTTTAGCTTTAGACCACATTAACCGCTTGGTATCATTTAAAAATTTGTATTTGATTCCCTTGTATTGTTTACAAAATATCATTATGTAACAACTTGACAGAAATTTAAATTTAATCCAATTGAAAAATAGCTTTATTTATAATACACAGACTTTATCCTCTTGTGTATAAACAAATGAAGAACATTTTTTGGTAAATTTTGTTTATTTGTATAACCTATAAGGTCATATTATAGGTAAACTCATATTTTTCTATATATTTCTATAAGGGCCATTCACTTTCAAAATACTGTATATTGAAAGTTATTTATTCTTGTTATTTATTGCACTCTCTCTTCAAATAGGCCTAATAAAAATGTTTTCACTATATTAATTTTTTCAATAGGTATGCTTTCTTCAATACCTCGATATTTACCTCAATGAAGATAACAACTCACCTTCAAAATAGCCAGCGACTCTCGATGGGATACCCCCTTCATGCTTCTTCCGTTTATAGACAGAATCCTGTCTCCTTTCTGTATCCTTCCATCTCTGTCAGCCGGACTGCCTGCCAGCACCTTGTGTACCTAGTTAGCAACAAAACAATTAAATATAAATAATAAAAAGTATGTGTAAAGATATTTTTTTATGGGAAATAATTACACTGCATAGATTGTGTCAATTTAGGAGGGTGTGTAGGGTGGGATTAGGTAAAATTCAAACAACACCAAGAGTCACGCCTTTTTTTTATGTCCCAACTTCACATCCTAAAGGGTGCTAGGCTATAGCCTGGAACTGTTTAACACATTACTTCAGGCTAGGCCAAGAATGTAGTTAACTGTAGTTTTTTCAAATAAAAAATGAACACTCCATTCGACTCTTCAAAAAGTGTTCACCATCCATCAAATCTCAAATTTTACTCTCATCACTATTTACCAGAAGATAAAAAATATCCTTGGAGCTAACGTTAGAAGTATATCAAGAAAAGGTCACACCAATTACTAGGTGTTGGTTTCCAGAGTGGGTGAACGAGTGAACGAGCAGTTGATATCGTAAACTGCAATAACTACGAAGGCGTAAAGATCTGACGGGAATGTCAGGGACGTTAGTCTTTAGAAAGGTGCGAGGTCCGAGGTTCATAACCCCGACATCCTATCATTAAATGAGATAATCCTCCGACGGTCAAGAACTATACTTCAGTGAGTTGGACCTTGAGTTTAACTTGTAGAATGCCATGGTGAGTGTTCTATGTCGATTGTAAATCATACCTTATGTATATTTTAGTCAATTAGTGTTAAAGTTATGATTAATCCTGTTATAAAGTTATCGTCAGTAATATTTTAGTACAACCTTTGACTTTGAATGCACTAACATGAAGTGGATATTCCCCATTAAAATTAAAAATAGTTTAAAAATGAAAATAAATTTAATTCAGCTATGCATATTATCATGTAATATGAAAAGGGCAATAATTTATTGTATGCTATTGAAAAATTATGTTTTTGTCCTCATCAACTATCATCATAAAAAAACAAAAGGAGAAAAACTTTAAATTATAGGTAAAATATGTCTACAATGTAAAACAGAGAACATATTTTTGTATACCTACTATAAATAGAGCATTATGATTTTACAGTGTTATGTCTTTGAAGCTAACGACTGCAGTATATCAATGACATATTGTCCATAAAGTTAAGGTAGTGTTGGTTAAATGAGCTTTCTTTCATGCCCAGTTTGAACTATAGTAAAGTTATCACAGTTGTATTGTAAATAACTTCTTTATCAACATATTGAGTGTTATTAAATTACCTGAAAGTACACAAATAAATTTATTGTGTTTTTTAAGTGATTCAGTTATGCTTTTAAATTATGTACAGCTATTGAATGACTTGGTTTTCATTAATTAATCCAATATGCTTTTACGTAAGTCATTAAAATGTTTTACAAAAAAGTTGATAGCGTATTTATATACTTTTCATCTTACAAATTAAAAAAGTACAAGTATGTAGATGGTAAAATAAGGTTGCTACCCAAATTACCAGGGTACTAAAATATTATTAATGTTTCCAAGAAAAAAAGGAAAATCATGTTTTTTTTATACTCCTTTCACCTGTAAGTAAGAGAATCCTTTAAAAATCTAATTAACACCTCTCTTTTTATAAATTGATAGACTTAATTGTTCACGTTATATTATTCCATTTACATTATTCATAAAACACGATATTAACATTGAAGCAAAAGGGTCAAATTGTTTTCATTCGCGAGCAAATTTACCTTTTTCTTCTACAAAAGACTTAATTATATAAGTATTACGGAACAAAAGTTAGGGAAGGAGTAAAACATTACCAAACCCATTTATATAACTAACTAACATAAAAAGTAACTTGTTGGTAAACTACAAAACATACAAACTCAAAAAGGAGCAAATAAAAAGGACTAACATGAATGGACTCTGTCAGCTTGTTGGCTAGCTGCAAAACAACAAAACATGCAAAATCAAAAAGGAACTAAAAAAAGACAACATAAATGCACTCTGTATCGGATTGATCTAAGACAGCTCAGAGGGCCATACATTACTGGACTATCTGCTGTCTGTCTAAACGTCACCTGCACATAAATTACAAACTACTCGGAATCCAACCAGTCTTTTTGCTTTTAGGCAGCTGTTTCGCAGAACCTATCCTTGAGTTGAAGAGTGCGTTTTCACACAATATCCAATCTAAGAGTTTTGAACTCTGTTATAATTTTATTAATTAATTAATTGTTTTTAATTTGTATAATAGTATGTTTCACAGTTTAAACAATTTTTCTTATCAGTACCGTACCTACTTTAAAAAAATATTAATATTTCCTGCGGTCTCTGCATTATTAGGTAACCAGTCATATAAGAGCAGTTGAAAGTGTAGTGTCATAGAAGGCAAAGTTATAAGCATCAAACATAACAATGAGCAATTGGCCTTGAGCTATAAACCTGTGAGCAGATGGCAAACTGTTGCCTTCATGCAGATGACGACCTGTTTAAATAAGATGTGAGAAAGTGGAATAACGAGGTTAGAGCTAAGAACATGGAGCAACCCATCACAATTTGGATACATATTGTAAACTCTTTGTCAAAAACAAATTTCTTGATTGAATGCGAGTTGAACACATTATTGCTTCAGTTTGGTCTAAAAATATAAGATTATATTGTTTACAAAAGGTTTTATTAGACTCAATCAATTTACAGACTTGGCTTTAGGTAACCTTGCAGAAAAAGCTTTGGCTAGGCCAAAGACATGAAAATAACCAGACCAGGATGAGTTTCTACAGTAAAATATTCCACTGGCGTAAAAAAAAATGGAGATGAAGTAATCAAGGCATACAAACGACATTCTCTAAATCAAGTCAATTCAAGTTTAGTAAAGGACGGACCAAAGTTTCTATCAAGCTTAATCTACAACTTGATCCCCCTAAATATAAAAATACATTGAAGATAAAGATGAATTCAAGAGGAAATTCAAAGATTATTTACTGAAGAGGCCATATTATTTTATTGAAGAATATCTGGGAGAAAAATAGGTCATAAAATAAACTGACAACCACGGCGCAGCTGCGCTACCAGTGAGAGATCACCAAGTATCAAGTACGTAAGTAAGTAATGGAACAAATATAAAAGAAGGAGAGGTCCCCTAGATGGATAGAAAGTGGTTGATAGATGAAGTAACCAAAGACCCGATATTCTAAAGAAGTGGAAGCAGACGGTTGATGAACTATAATTTCATCTAAATTACTCTTAGCTAAATACTCTTTTGGGAATAAACGTCCATGGAATTATGAGTACGGTAAGTGTATAAACACCTACAACATTTTCTTTTACACTCACAGTTATTTCCTTGGCCTCATAGTCTGCTCCCCCTGCCAATGTAATGCCGACACTTCCTCCGGCCGTGTCTCGGTGCAGAATTACTACAACCACCTCGTGGCTGCAACCCCCCGCCTCTTCCAGAGTCTGGTTAGCATCATCTATAAGCTGTTGCAACTCCTGTGGGCGAAATTAAAATACATTAAAAGAGTGAAAAACGTATACAGTAGACTCCCTCTTATCCGGACACCTTTTAACCAGGCATCGGTTTAACCGGACTACACTCGGCGGAAATGACATCTCTTTAACCGGACAATTTTTATCAGCACATTGGTTTAACCGGGCTAGATCGGCAGGAAGTGGGCTGTCCTGAAACGACTGTTCTCGTGGGAAAGATTTGAGGCCAGTGATCACGTGTTTAAATACAATGCTCTCCAAAATTTAAGTCGAATATCACAGTAAAAATTGATCGCAGTAAACGACTTTTGGGGGACGTTGGTTTAATAGGAAAACCCGTTATCCAGTCTGGCCTCGGTCCCGAGGAGTCCGGATAAGAGGGAGTCTACTGTAGTTCTAAATGTTCATCACACCACATTCTATATGAAGAGTAGGCTGATAGACCAATTGCACCCTGATTAGAAGCATTTGAGATACCCTAATCAACCAGAACACTTCCAACGTTACTAAGAATTGCAAAGTAGATATCCCCTGGTGGTTTAATATAAAATGTCATTCACTCAACATTAAAATGTGGCTTGGCATTTTCAATAGAGCTAAAATGTTATTAGTAGGGTGAACAAAAACTGAATGAGGAATACTTTAACTAACTTCTTGATAAAAATTGAACAAGTTTAAATTAATTAAATCATAGACAAATAGAATAAATATAGACCAGTGGCGGTGCTGCGGTTAGCATATGTTCCAGGTGCCCACAACTAGGAGTGTTGTGTTGTTACGCCGCACAAGGTTCTTTACCGATGCAGCATCTGCTGGTAGCTACGGCTTCTGCACTCCTTGCCTGCAGCAGTGTACGCCGTAACTACACGGCACTCCTAGCGGTGGGCGCCGGAACTTTCCTTTGACAGTCTATATTTATTCTATTTGTCCATGTTAAAATACAACCATACCTTCATTAATTATAAATAGTGTTGGAATATGCATTTTATTCTATCAATATTGTAGGTTTTAGTAAAATAATTTTTAACAAGGATTTAATATACTGTACTTTTCTTTCGTGGACTCTTTTAAGCTCTAAGGAATGTTTAAAATTATAAGTTGTAAGTTGAAAGTTATTTATTTTGTTAAATTAACTTCAATGTAAATAGTGTAAAGATATGTATGTGAAAATGTAATTGATACGATTATCCAGAGATGGGCTACAATCAAGGATTTGGTAATGGTATGTCTTAACTGTTTGTAATATAATAGTCTAGTTTACCTGTTGTGAGATGAGACTGGTTGAGGAGGCTAGAGAGGTAATGCTGCCAAACTGCTGCTCTTTCTGCAGGTTTGTGACGGAGCCGTAGTGGGTCGGTGTTGGAGCGCAACTGTCCTCACTTGTCGTGGAGTCCAGCGAAGACACTCTCGCATGGCTAGGTATCAAGTGTCCGTTACCATTCAACATCCCTGTTTTGGGTTTCCCGCTCAATGCGATCTCAGCCTTCTCAAACGCTTTCCTGATGTCATTCACGCTGACAGACCTCCTGCTGTTTCCATTCCTCGATGACACAGTTGGAATCCTCCCAGTGCTTGAAGATCCAGGGGATTCTTTCGGACTTAGAGTCGGTGTCTCTTGTTTGCTCGTGCAGGACACAAAGTCTTCACTCGATGTGGTAGATTCCTTGGAGTCGCTGTGCAGTAAAGTCTGGGAGCTGCTTTTTCTCTCCGCTGGCTTTGGAGTTGTGGTTGACACTAACTTGGGCTTGGTACAGTTATCTAGTTTGCTTTGTGATAAGGCAGTTTTACAAGAATCGTCATCGGAGGTTGAAGAGTTGTTATTGATAATAGTTTCTCTTGAGAGCCTCTTGACAAACGGTTTCTTATTGGGTGAGTTGTTGACAATGTTTTCATTGTAAAAATCTGCCGTGATTGTGTCAAACTTTGATACGTGTTTGAAGTTATTCATTTTACCATCAACATTATCCGTCATGAAAATTTCTTGTTTCATGTACCCGTTTTCTTTTGATAAGATCTTATCTCGAGGAGCAGGTATGGGATCACTGTCCAAGTGTTCCATGCTTGAGGGGTTGCTGTCGATAAAACTAGAATCTTCTTGTGAGGAGAAATTACCACCATCACTAACTTCAACTTCTAGATAAGCGACTTTTGTATGTCTAAACTCCTTATTGTCTGATAACAGCTGGTAATGAATTATATCTGGTGCATTATTTTCTTCACATAAATCTTCAGTGACAATCTCTTTTTTCAATGTTCCATTCAGTTTTTCAATAAAGTTTTCAGTCTCAATATGTGTTTTGGTTTCATTCATGTCTACTTTAAGTACACCTTCATCTAAGTATCCTTCACCCTCCTCGAATTTCCTTTGGATTAGAGGTGAACCGATTTTTAGATCTTGACCGCTACTGAATCTTGCGGAGGAAAGAACGTTTTTCCTGTTTATGGCTTCCACACTTTGAGCCTTCAAAACCCGTCGGTTCAAGCTGTCTGTGCTAGAACTGCTGCAGCTCGCCTGAGAACCGGATGTCAGAGTAGAAGCAGTCGAGGAGGCAGCAGAAGCTGTTGTTTCAGATGAAAGGGTTCTCCTCAAAGTTCTTCTGTCACTACTACCAGCAGAGTTAGAAGGCGAAAGAAGCATATGCGATCTCGACATGTGATCGTCATCTCCAATTCTATGCTGCAAATCGGGCAAGGGCGACTGAGGAGGGGAGAAATCATGGGATATACTCGATCTACTTGAACTGACAGCTGAGTCATTATCACTCTCTTCACCACCTGATCTCCTCAAATCGTTTGCATTTTGTTGTTTATTCAGCTTAATCAAAGGCATTACTTGAGGCTCACACGACTTTATGTAACTACCATTATTTTGATTGATTTTCTCCTCATAATGATTGTTTCTCATCATTTTCATGTCAGGAGAACTCCCGCTGCTGCTGATGAACTCAAAGCTTAAATCAGACTGAGTTGGTGAAGTTATACTCTCCAAGGACTTTGGTGGCTCTTGATGAGAAGGCGTTGGCGACAAAGACGTTGCTGTAGGAGATGAAAAACTGTTTCTTGAAACATTGCTCACTGACCTTGGAGGTTTTGAGGGTGGAGATGGTGGTGTTGCCAATGGTTTTATATTGGTACTGACCGTGTTGTCAAATATTGGCCTCAACTCTTCACGACTCGAACTCAAAGATGAAGAGACTGAAGAAGCTAATGAAGGTGCTCCATATACTGCTAATGATTTCCTCTTGAAAGCTGGTGAATACTTGGGAATATCAGCAACTGGAGGCTGGGATTTCCAAGATAGTGATGATAAGTTACTATTCTGGGAAGGTGTAATATTAGAGGTTGGTGAACTGAAGGTTGAATTTCCATACCTGCATGTTCCATATGATGAAAATGACGACTTTTTAACATTTTCTTCTGGCACTTTTGATAGGATAGAGTCTCTACTTTTGATTTCTGGTAAATCTGGGATTGTTTGTGGGACTACATCTTCTGAAACCTTTTCTGGTATGACAAGCCCACGAAGCTTAGAAATACTTCTTCTACGCTGCTCTATTAACGCATTCAAAGAAGCTCTTCTGGCCTCCTCATTATTACTGGTTTTTGGCATGTACCTATTCAAAGGTATTGAATTTACATCTACTAGGCTTTGAGACCTAGAGTGAAGTTTATTTGGACTGTTAAAACTCAGGGCTCTTCCTAAATTCGTTTTGTTTTCGATGTTCGTAATAGGTGACGATGATGTAAGCGATATTTTTCGTTCGTTGTCTCTTGCTGCAGTTTTCCTCGGAAGAGTACTAGAATATCCAATATACGGAGCTGAATTTATCACTGATGAAGTTAGGGAGGAGTCTGGCGACTCTGAGGAGTATGCAGAGGACGAGGATGATAAATCCATAGAGCTCTGCGTGCGACTAGTAAGCTCTAAACTTTTGGGAACGCTAGACTTGGCCTGCTTCAATGCCGAAACTTGTGACATGTCAACCATGCTGCTGTAGGTAGGCAGTTTCTTCATGGGACTCGTCGATCGTTGGTTAATTTCTGGGAGATAAGAATTCGATGTCACCTTATCAACAGAAATCACAGATCTAGAGAACAATTTACCAGATGATAAATTGCCAGAACCATCTACATTGTCGTTGTAAAGTACATCTTCAGAACTCTTAAACCTGTTGAGTTTCCTATGAGCGGTCATTGAGGGAGGAGGTATTGCAGGCGACACTGGAGTTTCATCTGCAACGTTCGAAAACATGGCGATTTTATCACGAACACTTCGCACACTCTTTTCATCGTTCCTCCACAACGCTGCTCGGCTTGGCTTGGAAGACTCATCAGTGTTCATTGAAGGGTTGGAGCATGTGGAATATTTTCTTGCGGGGGTTGTAGTTTCAATCTCTCGCTCTAGGATAGGAACACTGAACTTCTTCTTGGGGATGGGTGGTGCCGTAGAGGGTAGTGGGGGAGGTGGTTGCATCTTGAGTGAAGGCTCCACTGCCGCCATTAGCTCGGGGCAAAGCTCCTGGTAGTTGGGAGGGAACTCATGGCCATCTGGCGGCAATCGAGAGAAGCTAGGAGGAGGCGACAAGTTCAGCGTGGCAGATGCCGAGACGTCCATAGCTCCACATTCAACTGCAACAAAAACAATACTCATTAGGTCAAGATAAAAAGTAACTAAAATTGAAAAGATACAGTAGAACCTAGAACATAAACAAGTCTTCTAAGGGAATTATTAAATAAGACATGTTATCAAGGTTATCGGTTCTTACCGAGATTTGGTATTTGGAAATTACACATTTAAGGGGGTCCCTTTCAATGACGAAAACAACCTCAATAACCCGTAACCTTAATATATTTTACTAGATAACTAAATACCCGATGACAAATCAAAACATTGTTGATGGCAAATAGCCAACGCATAAATTGGGGGTTTGGGTAAACAGAAGAAGATGTTGAAATTGACTAAGTCAGTTAAAAGTCCGCGCAATTTTATTCTTAATCAGAGTTGCTAGAGGATCATGTCAGCTTTAAAGTTTTCTGAAACATAGCAAGTTGGATTTTTGAGTAAAATAATTGTAAAAAAAATATTCCTCATCCCCAGATTTTCTTAAATTGACATAATATTGCCATTCAAAACTTTAAACGTTCACATAACCATCCTAATTTGAAAACAAAAACTATCCAATATAACTCGTATACATATTATTTCATTCAAAGTTCGAGCATGGAGCGCGACAACAACTATCTCGGAATCTTAAGCGTGAAGGAAGAGGGAATTCAGCACCGAATGAGGTACGGCACGAGGTTTGTACATTTTGTCGATATTTTTAGATCGAACCGGGAACTGCAGATAAGAGAGGCGTGCGTCTCGGGCGCTCACCTCTAACCTCCAACCTCCTCCTAGGTGCACGGTCGACCATCGACCGGCCGAAGGTACTGTGGCGATAGTCTGGACATATGCCCACGTTGCTGTTAGGGCAAAACATCGTGTAAGAATAGAGCCTTCATAACACCGGACAACACCGAAAAGTAAACAGTTTTTATCCTTGCTACAAAAAATACTGCTGAATGAATTTGACTTCAGTTATCAGTACTGTACTCTGATAATACAGTTTCAGTTAACAGAGACACAATTAAATATTTTTACTAACGGCATCAAGGATTATTCCTAATCGCGTTCAAAATAGGGGAACAAAACCACGATTAATTAAGAAAGGAACTTTGTTCTCCTGGAATGACAAAAGTAGAGAATTTCTTCCATTGGTTGAAATAAGAATATTAAGCACGGATAAGGAATAAACTTAGAGAAAATTATGTATGACACATTGGTTGGAGCCAGTCCATTAATTCACTACCACTACGTAAGCTACTTTAATGCTGAATGTAACAATATAAGTTACACAATCTAAGGCTTAGGTTATACCTCGGTTCTAGCCTAACCTAGCAAAATCTAACCAAATCCAACTTAAAATTACCTAACCCTAAATAGGATGTGTGGATAGTTACAACATTTTAACCTTGAAAAAAAACATTGCGATAGTGGATCAAGGGAAAAGGATCCATTGACTTTTGAATTACCGTACCAGATTTGTCTGCAACCGAAATATATTACTAATCCTAGAATTGTTTCCAAGAGGTTACAAGGATAAAAAGGACATTTGGCCACCTCCAATCACACTTGGGATTGTCACAAAAGACGCCTTCTATATTCCCGCCTCATATCAGTTGCCACTTTGAGTCAACCTCCATTAGTAATGCAACAGCTGGAGCGGCAACACAAAACAAGCTAGAACAGACGTGGCCCTGCATAATGTGTTTTGTTCAACTAATTTTCCCCTTTGGATCCCAAGACACTGAGACGACTGTTTTGTATGCGCGGTAGAAACATATTTTAACAACCTTGAAATTTCAGAGCATGAACATAATTTGTGGAGCGAGTACACGAATAAGAATTAGTGCACTCCCACTGTCAAAATTAAACATTGTTCAAGTTAGATACGGAGAATTATAATTGCCGGTAGAATAATTTAACACAGAGGCTACTAAGTATTAAACAAATCTGTTTATTATCAATAATAGTTAAATATTCCTAGTTCGAATCAGAGCATATTACATAACTTTTCTCTATACCTGTATCATCAATGTGACAAACAAAAAACCACAGACTATCCATCAAAATGTTCGTGTCGTTTAAGTTAGGCCTACGGTATAATAGTTTGCTTGCAGATAAACGAACAATAGTTCGTGTTATGCAAGAGATTCACGAAATCTAGGTCAATTCAGAATTTACACCAACAATAATCCAATTCATCTTTAACAATAACACACATCCAGAAAACATTCTATCGAAACGGATAAGTTAAAAACAACAAGGTGTCGCTAGGCTGGACAAAACAAGGTTGCCCTCAGATGCGGATAAGACAAAAGCCTTGGAGGAAGGAAGCGCAGGTGTCGAATGTAGGCTAATAGACGGTTCGGTAGCCCGGACAAGACTGCCATTACCGCTTCATCTCGTATAAACCGGACGAGACGTGCTCACTGCTCGTGCCGCGCAACGGGAGCTGGAGAAGAAACTTCAGCAGGCGCCGTCGTCCTGGGGAATGTTGAAGAAGAAATGCATTCAGTAAGTGGGGATTCTAGAGGTCGACCCGGCAAAGGAACGCTTGATAAGGTACTTGGGTTGCGTATGGTTATGGTTGAAATATTTTGTTTAGCAGAGGTGTTTTCACTTGATGTGAAATTAGCTTTGAATGTGTTACGTATGAAGGTAGCAACGCTTCGTATCGTGTGTAAATGTGTGAAAGGAGTCACTAATAGCAACTTCCAAAGCATTTTACTATATGGCTATAGTACGTTAATTTTGAGAATGCACTGCATGATTTTTATCAGAACTTAAATTGAACCAAGATAAATAAAGCATGCATATGGAGTTCAAATGAAACTGAGGCGCAAAACATAAATCAAAAGGATTGCGTTATCTAATTTCCCCCTGTTTTGTGACTGAGACTCCGAAAGACTGTTTGAATCTTTTCCTCGTCCCTCTTGAACAGGGGGACTAACTGTTGCAGAAGTAGCCAACACATACACTGATACAGTATGGGGTTTACAGTTTACATGCTAAACAAGAATCTATGTTCCCTCAAGGTACGACTAAAAAGTGAACAATTAAAACGACCGAGTTACCTTTTATTATTGTGAAGCCCAAGAACAGGCCTCAAAATGAGATGTGTGGCAAGAATATGTTACGAGTTTATCACTTGAGGTCAAAGACAAAGTTTTAATCACACAGTCCTCAGCCTGCGGTCGGCTGGAACCGAACGGTCTTGCGGGCAAACCCCGGAACGAAAATTACAAAAGCGATTCTGCAGTGTGGTCCTTATATGGCGCCGGCGGGACCGCTTCCACATCCACTTGCGCTTTTTGCGCCAACAGCCGCCACTGTGAGTACTGATTGATTCGCAGTCCTCGTTCATTCAGCCTTACAAGGCGCGTAGCGCACCGCCGATAATTGAGAGGTGAGCGAAAATAATTCACCAACTACCGACCGATCGCGCTGCTGCCGGCGTTTTGAAAAATGCCGTGACCTCTTCGGTTAGTAGAGACGACAATGTTTCGTTGGCAATGGGGTTTGACAAAGGTTTACTACATCTGAAACCGCGTTTTATACTGCAATTTTAAGAGTATTATTCTTTTGATATTGATCTAAAAGTTTAAAATTCTGTTTCTATTGGAAGAAATTATCAAATACATTGATTTTTGCCGTGTTAACAATTTATCGTTTTTACTCAAACATCAGACTTATAATTGTACGTATTTTCCACGAAAAACTCCTGCTAGTACACAAGTTTCTCCTACTGAATCCAAAGAAATCTGGATTCAAAAGACAAAAAGGAATCTGCAAGCACTATTTAATCTTATGCTATACCACAGCCACCGTGGCTATACACCGATCTTTTTTTCGCTACAATAAACGTTTTCTTTCTGACGATAACACCAATTGCCGTCTCAATATACACTACACACTGTTTGAGTTAGACAATTACCATTTTTATTGGCCTGGAGATAACTTAGCAAATTTTACGCTACGTCAAAATACCCTGTGTCAATGTGCATGTTGTTTGTTTTCTAATGTACAGTACAGTAAGGGTTGTTGTTTCTTATTGTGTTGCCCAACGCTGGATTATGATGACTCCGACGTCGAAATCGGCAATCTTAAATGTGAAGAAATAAACGTCTGCACTAAAATATCCACAAAGCTAAGAGCTAAGCTCTTCCACGTCGAAACTCACAAATCCTATTCCACAATGTTGACGCTGCACTGGAGAAGCAGTGGGGAGTATGGATGTGGATGTGGCTGTGGCGTTATTAACACGATATCTTAACACAATTAATTACCAGCGCTAACGAGACACGAGGTAACGCTCGACTGGTGAGATCTGAGACTAGGTTGCATTGACCTTGCAACCTTGGCTGGTCACGTGACCTGAGGATCCGAACACCGCGGAACTGAGCTACTAATGTGATCAACACAATCAGGAGTCCACATCCGAGTAGGCTATGCTCCGGAAACACTTTACACACTACTTCAACGGTGAGGAATTTAACGCGGGAGGGACGGGTACAATTCCCGACACATCCACAACGCTCAAATGGTTTTGGATAGCTTTCCCTAAAAGTGTATAAGTACTTTGTAAGTAAATCCATTGTCGATTTGTGGGATCTGAACGCAAGACCTCGGTACAGGAGTCCCGCTTTCTACCACTACCCCAGCTCGCTTCCCAGAAGTAAAATGAAGTAAGCGAATATGTTTTACAAGGAAGGGGTCCGTTGAAAATTCCACTTAGAGTGAGGTCAATGGTAACGGTAAGAATGTTTAATGCTGGTAGACCGGTATTTTTAGTAAATTATTCTCCTTTACTCTTTCTTACTTTAATTCGGTTAGTTAATCAGGTTAGGTAAAATGAGACATGCATTGCATATATTGATTACTTGTTTTCAGTTTGGTTTGTAAAAAAGACTAGGTCCGTTCCTTTTAACTTATTGCAGGATTTAGAAAATCCATTATTTCTAGTGTATTAATTACAGCGCTAGCTGTTGACTAGCGCCCGGAAACAGAACCAATGTAATCTATG